CAAGAGGTCATGCAGCCTCCACTTGAAGACATCCAGTGATTTGCTAATTTTCCAAGGCAGCTCCTTCCACTTTTGGGTAGCTCTAATTGCTAGGAAGCTTTTCCTTAAATGGAGCTGAAATACAACTCTCTTTCCACTTCCTTCAATCACTGCTAGTTCTTGCTCCTTCAGCAATCCAGAACAAACTGAATCTGTCTCCCTCTTCAAGTATGATTACAGTCATCATGTCGACTGTAAATCTTTTCTTTCCTCATATTAATATTCCCATCTTCTTTAACTAATCATCACCATGCATAGTTTCAAGTCCCCTCACCATTCTGGTCACCCTCCTCAGAACGATCTATCTACATCCTGTCTCAGAACCAAACAAGATAGTTCAGATGTGGTCTGACTAGGACAGAAGGCAGTTGGACTGTTGATTATTTCCCTCATTCCTTTCTTTTATAGCATATATTTGGTTAGGGATGTTATCTACTGTGTCTTACTGTTCAAGTCAATAGGACTTTATGGTTATTTAGTATCAAGTACTGCTGCTGGCTCGGTGATGAGGGATACAGTGACCACAATGAAACATTGCCCATCCTCAGGAGACTTCACATTGTACTTCAGAGAAACAATGTGGACACAGAGAAATGCCAAAATATACCAATATAATGTCAGGGGAGGGGAAAGAATTTCAGGAAAGGCTACATGAAGGAGGCTGCCCTTGAGCTGAGCCTTAATTAAATCTCAGGATTCCAAGAGGAAAGGGGAAGAGGGACATGGCATAAGAGACAGCCCATGGAAAAGTACAAAGGTAGGAAAAGGCATGGTGTATAACAGAAGAACAAGAAGATCAGTTTGGCTGGAATTTAGAGTATGTGAGAAGTGATGTGAAATCAGCCTAGAAATATAGGTTAGAGCCAAACTTTGAAAGCACATAATAAATGCTAGGTGACTGACTGACTGAAAGACGTTAGTGCCATACAAAGGAGTTTGTGTTTTATCCTTCAAGTAAGAGTAAGCCCCTGGAATTCTTGAGTAGGGGAGTGGCAGAGTCAGACTTGCACTTTAGGAATATCAATTTGGCAGCTGTGGAGAGAGTGAGTTGCAAAAGGGAGGTACTGTTGGCTCTTGTGGAGCATGAAGTCCAAAATCCTCATTCTGCAGATGGGGAGACTGAGACTCAGCTAGGGGAAGCAGTTGTCCAAGGTCACACAGTGAATTTAGTGACAGCCAGCACCAGAAACCAGGTCTTCTGATTACCCAGTCCAGGGCTCTCTCAGAGGCACCACACTGTCTCTGATCATTAGTAAATGGGTGTCGGATGCTGGTGGATCACAGCCATACTAATTACAATGAGACTTAATAATAAGGTGTCTCCAGGCTGCTCATTATCATTGGGCGGGCCTTGTTTTGTGTCTCCCCTGGGTCCCCCTCCCCCTCCCCATCTCTTTCTCCCTCCGCTTTCCCAGCCCATCCCCCATTGTTCTCAACTCAGACTTCCTCCCAGCGGCTGGCCGCATCACCCACATCCTCCTCTGGCGGCAGCTCAGTTTTAAAAATAGCCCTGGAGCGTGTGACTGGGAGCGGCAGTGGGGAGGGGCCACTGAATCTGGCAATAGACCTGCCAGGGCAGGGCTCTGAGCTTCTCTCCTGGCCTTACCCATTCAAGCTAGCCCTATGGTCATAGGCCAGGGGCAGTGAACTTATTAGTGATGAATGTGGCTGCCCACAATGCCCCATGGCTGCTTTCCCAGGTCTGTGGAAGGCAAGGGGAAGGGTAAATAAAGGGAGGCAGGGTCATAGAATATGAAAGAGCAGAGAAGCAATAAGCATGCAGACCATAGGTGACAGTTTGGGAAATTGTTTAAGACAGACCTGGGTCATTGGATCTTAGAGGATTTTTTTTTAAGCCTGGAAGAACAGGTAAAGATTATTTTTCATTTTAAACCCCTTGTTTCACAGATGAAGAAACTGAAGTCCAGAGGAGTTATTATGACCATCTCATTGATCACTAACACTGAAATTCCCTCCCTCTTTCTGAACCTTAATTCCCTTATCTAATCTTCTTTCTGCTCACTGAACCCCTATCCTCTAAGTCTCAATCCCCCCACCCACTATCCCTCTAGGTAAGACCCCATTCCTTTCATGGAATCTTTATTCCCTTGCAGTCTCCATCCCTATCACTGAGTCTGTCTCCTCTTTTACCTTCCCTCTAGATATTCCATAGTCCAGGGTTGTTGCCTCCTGAACGAAGCTTATAGATAGGTAGGGAAAGACACCCCTAATTTGCTGGGGATGAAACAATTCTAATTAGTCTCTTGAGGAAGGGGTTTACTTTGGTTTGTTTTTATATCTTTAGCATCTAAACAAAGCATCTTGAATATACTAGGCACTCAGTAAATGTTTGTCACATTGAATTTGTTATATAATTGATAATGCTAAAAAATTGTCACAAGTGTACAACACTTTCTTGCCTCCATAGCACCTTACCATGCATATTTAAAATTAATTTTTGTTGATATTTATTATATCACCAGAATTACTCTCAGTATCTCTATTCTTCCTGCTCCTAGAAAGCCATCCCATATAAAGAAGGAAGGAAGGAAACAATCATTTATTAAACACCTACTGTGTTACAGCCACTGTGCTAAGCACTTTACAAACATCTCATTTGATCTTCACAACAACCCTGGGAGTAGATGCTATTACTACCCCTATTTTACAGTTGAGGAAACTGAGGCAAACAGAGGTTAAGTGACTTGCCTGGGATTACATAGTGTATGAGGCCGGATGTGAACTCAGATCTTCCCGGCTTCAAGCCCAGCTTTGCTCCACCTAGCTGCCACATAATAAAAACTATTTTTAAAGAAAAAGAAAAAATGAAAAGGAGACAGAATAGGAAATGCGAGGAACTAGCTTATCCCCATTTTATTAATGAGACTCAGAGGGAATAAATTACTTACCTGAGGTCATACAATGAATTAGTGGCAGAATCAGAACTCAAGTTTTCTGACTTTCGAACCAAAACTCTGTACCTAGTAAAAATAAGGACTGTTTCCTGGGTAGGAGGAGGCCTGTGGTGCTCAGAACCAGAAACCATATTTCCATTTCTTGGACCTGGACTCAGAGCAGGCCTTCACTGCCCTGCTCTAGGCTGCCTACTCCCTGGGGCTTCTAGAAAGAGGAGACAGGGGAGACTGGGTCTCTTTTCCTTAAATCAAGTTTTGGACTCCTCTTCAGCCCCCTACCACATTTCCCAACAAGCAGGCAGCAACAGGGTCAAGGAGCTGTCCTGCATGTAGTGCTGAAGATGTTCTCTCTGGCGCTCCTGGTTTCCTTCTCTCTCCCCTTCATCTTTCTTTCCTCACACCTCTCTCCCTCTTCTTCCCACCACCCACCTGTTTCCTTCTCTAGTCTTTACCACTCCAGCTTGCATCTGCTTATCTCTCTCTCCAGCTACTTGTTGTACTTCCCCTCTTCCTCTATTCGTCTTTGCCCCAGTGCCTCTCTGTTTCTATCTATTCATCTTATATCTAATTCTGTTTCTTCCATTTCCTGTAACATGTCTCTCACCTCTTCTGTCTCATTTTCTCTCTCTCTCTCTCTCTCTCTCTCTCTCTCTCTCTCTCTCTCTCTCTCTCTCTCTCTCTCTTTCTCCCCGCCCCCCTTGTAATGTACTTTCATCTCCACTTCCATGAGAATTTGGGAAATGAGAAAAGATCCCTTTCCATCTCCCCACCCCAATCCCCTGCTGTGACAGATAAGTTAAGTCATGACTCTCCAGGGACAAAGGGCTGGCCTCAATGAGCCCAGCTGAGATCTGACTAACCAAAGTCTAACCCCAGGAGCTTGACTTTGTGATGTCTGTCTGGCCTTTTCCTTCCATCCCCTAACTTTTTCTCTTTGCTCACAGACTCTCTGCATGAATTGCTAGCCATAATGTCTTCAGAAATACATCCGTTTTCTCCTCCATAACTGTTCCTGGCAGTGAAAAGGGAGCCCCTAGAAGGGCCTGGACACTTTCCAGGAATGATTGCATTAGCCCAGTCAGGCCCCCTATTAAACTCCATTCTCCAGCCATTGATGGGAAAAACTTGAGGCGTAGGAGTAGGAAGTAGGGAGCCTGCTTTTGCCAGGGTATCACTAACCCAAAAGGAGCCTCTGGCCAAGTCCCTAGGGGCTAAAGGTTCAGAATGCAGAGTTCTGGGTAAGACAAGAATACCGGTGACTCTCCTTTTCCCCCTCCCCAAGACAATCCACAGACCTGAATAAAAGGATGAATACTGGGGATATTTCTGTTGGTGACAGTGCTTTGATAAACTTCATTGGCAAGAAGCTCTACTGGAGACAAGGGAGAAAATGGGTCAAATCTTCCTTCTCCCCTTAGGTTATTGACATCTTTACCAGCATCCTCTATCCTTCATTATGTATCTTTTTGCATACCCACATGCATGCCCTATTCTCTCTGGTGTAGGGCACAGAAGATGTCTCTATTTTAATTCTTTCTTGGCCAGATCTCAGAAAAGGGATGGCTGGTCAGGTTCTTCACAAGAGGGAAAGTTAAGGGTGGGGCATAAGAGGTGGTGGGAGGGGAACACCTGGGGCCAAGGGTTAAGGGTCCACTTTTCCCTTATCTCTCCTGCTTTCAGTTTATAATTTGTCTGTCTTTTCAATAACACTGTCCCTGTTCCTCTCTTTCCCTTTCCCCTCTCTCCTTCTCATCTCTCCCTCATATTTTCCTTTTTCATACTCCCTTGCCATCTCATTTCATCTCTTCATCTCTTCTCATCATTCCCTCTTTCTTCTACCTCTTCTCTCTCCCCTCCCACTCCTTTCTCTCTCATTTTTCCCTTTTTCATCTCTTCTATCTTTTCCTCTCCTCACTACATCTCCTCATCTTTCCCTCTACCTGTCTTCTCATCTTCATTTCTCTTCCTGTCATTTCATCTCCATGTTTTTCCCTCTCCCCGTCTCTCCCTCTCTTTGCCTTTCCTTCTCTCTGTCTCTTTCTACAGTTAAAAAAGCCAAGTTTGATGGTGCTCAAGGTAAGTGACCCCTGCGTTGTTTTTTTGTCATGATAGAGTGGAATGGGAATGTGTGTGAATGACCTCTCATTTGGAAGGGCAATGTTTAGGGATAGGAGGTGGGATGGGAGAAGAGAGGCAGCTTATCTCTCTTCTAACCCTCCCCAAATCCTTTGTAACAAAATAGTGTCTCATTGAAAGAGATACATCAAGTCTCTGTTGGGAAGGAGGGGGTTGGCTGGAGGAGAAGGTAGGTACTTTTCCACAGAGGGTTGATCTAGGACCAGTGGAAGAAAGTTGTAGGGAGATTCATTTTGGTTCAGTATGAGAGAAAACTTCCTAACAGAGACCTATCCAAAAGTGAAACGGTCTGCCTTGATTTGTAATGAATTTCCCGCCACTGGAGGTCTTTAAGTTGAGGCTGGCTAACTACTCTTCTTTTGCCTCTTGTAGATTGGATTCTTACTCAGATTCAGGTAGAACCAGGTGCCCGACCCTGAGACTATGATTGGTACTATGACTTGGGGGCAGACTCTTGGGCAATACAACAGACTCTGCTCCTATTAATTGAGCTGAGACTGTTTATGGGGATGTGAGGGCATGGGCATGAAGACTGCCTGTGTTCTTAATGCTTTCCACACACCCAAAGCCTGTTTGGGGTTGGTCTGGGGGTGGTTCAGGGATGTCTTAATGTTGATAAGTTGGAACCCGCAAGGGAGAGTCAGGGAGGCCCAGTGGGCTCAACCCCAACAACCTGTTCATTCTGCCTACTATCTCTTCCCCCAGAAAAATTCAATACCTACGTGACCCTGAAGGTGCAGAATGTTAAGAGCACCACCATCGCGGTGCGGGGGAACCTGCCATGCTGGGAGCAGGATTTCATGTTGTGAGTATCTGTGGTACCCTGGTAGCCAGCAGCTGTGAAGGGCTGCAGAAGCTGACTCAGAGCGCCTGGCTGAATGATAATTATTACTCAAATATACATAGTACTTTACAGATAATTTTTCAGTTTACAGAGCTTTTCTCCATCCATCCTCTCATTTGAGCCTCAAATACCCCCTGAGAGATTAGTAGAGTGGGGATTCTTATCCCCATTTCACAAATGAGCAAGCTGAGGTTCACATGGGGAAGTGACTTGCCTAAGGTCACCAAGGGATTCACTGGTAGAGCTGTGACTCACACTTGGGTCCTCGGACTTTAGGTCCATTACTCTTTTCACTGCACCACATTATTCAGCTACTTAGGCCTCTATTTTTCAGCTTGTAAAGAAAGCTGCCAAGTGAAAAGCTGGGCCAGCACTCACCAGACTCAATCACCCCCACCCCCACCCACCCCCACCCACCCCACTCCTAGACAGATAGCTCCTCAGAGCTGCTAGGATTATTCTTGTCCCTACCACCTACGGCCATCTGTCCTACCTTGTTGTTAAGGTATCAGATTTCTCCAGATCCCTGGCCTTCATGTGGACAATTTTATTTCTTTCTTCACCTTACTTCATGCAAGATGAAAGTTGGTTGGGCTTTTTTTCCTACCAGAAGGGCCCTTCTCCTAACTCACTAAATTTCCTTTGATCAAATCACTTTCTTTAAGCCTCAGTTTTCTTACCTATTAACTGGAGGTGGAGTTGGACTAGATTGCCTATAAGGCCCCCTTCTAGTTCCCAACTCGGTTCTTTCTGACTCCAAATCCAGCATTCTATCCATTATATCCCCTAGTTGCCTCTGGGTCTATGATCCAGGATGGGGTAAAGAGGCAAAATAGTTGGAGGAGGAGAAAGCTCCAAAGTACTTGCATTGCCAGGCTCTCTAGTGCCCTGTTGGGTTATGGGGAGCCTGGGTTGGGGAGGGGAGAGTAGAAAGATAGCTGCCTAGCTCAGTGATCTCTAATGTCCCCTCCAGCTCCAGATAGTAATAATCAAAGCTAGCATTTACTTGGCACATTAAGGTTTTCACATTTTTATACACACACACACACACACACACACACACACACACACACACACACACACCTTTAAGTGACTGGCCCAAACTGAGGTCTTCCTGACTCCAGGCCCAGCACTCTAGCCACTGTGCAACCAGCTGTTTATGGTAAGTGCTATCATGACGCCCATTTGACAGTTGGGGTAAGTGAAGTCAATGGAGTATAAATGACCTGCCCAAGGACACACAGCTGGTAAGTGTCTGAGCCTGGGTGTGGACTCAGGTCCACCTGACTCCAACCCTGGTACTTCATTCACTGTGCCTTCTAACTACCTTATATTCTCATTTCCGGTTATGGATCTAGGAATGACTGCTCTCCCCCTTTCCTTCTGCCTCTCCTGCTAGTGAAATTAATCGCCTGGACCTTGGCCTGACAGTAGAAGTTTGGAATAAAGGGCTCATCTGGGACACCATGGTGGGCACAGTATGGATCCCCCTCCGGACTATTCGCCAGTCTAACGAGGTGAGCACAAGGGATGGGGGATGAGCAGGAGCAAAGAGCCAGGCACTGTCTTTAGAACCTGAATAAATGTTCAAAAGCGGGGAAGGAGGCAGGGCAGTAGGAGGAGGGAGTAGTCAAAGGTGATGCTGGCAGATTTGGGAGCAGGGCCAGGGCTCACCAACAAGGCTTTCCGAAGGAGGTATCTGGGAGCTGTGAATAGTTCCTAGCTCATCTTTCTTATGGAATCCTCCCCTTTTCCCAAGGTAGAACAGGAAGGGAGTGGTGGTGTATTTTTTTGCTCTTTGATACGCAGCACCTGTTCAGTTCTTTTTCCTGCCCTCAAGCTTAGTTGCATCACTCTGACCCAAAGCCCTCACGCTGCTGTGATCCCCCTTTAGCCCCACCCACCCCAAAGAGATACAGTGGTTTTCTTAGAATAACATTGTATTTTGAATGTCTAGTAGTAAGAACTGGCTGAACTAGTGCACAGTGGACGGCTACCACGAGACTTAGAATGAACACTAGCTAAGGAAGGCATGCAAGGGTACCAGCCACCTGGTTCTCCTACCCTCCTCCAGGAACACCCATCCCAAAGAGATAACAATGGTTTTCTTAGAATAACATTGTATTTCAAATGTCTAGTAGTAAGGACTGGCTGAAATAGTGAGCAGTGGAGGGGTACCAAGAGACTTAGAATGAACATTAGCTAAGGAAGGAGTACAAGGGTACCAGCTACCTGGTTCTCCTATCCTCCTCCAGGAACATTTTTTCCTTGGCACTGGTTTTAACCTTTTGATATTCTCTTCTCTCCCTAACCTCCTTCTTCCTCTGACCACTTCTGGATTTGATGGGGGTTCCCTTTCTCAGGAGGGCCCCGGTGAATGGCTCACCCTGGACTCTCAAGTTATCATGACAGACAATGAGATCTGTGGTACAAAGGACCCCACCTTCCATCGAATTCTCCTGGACACCCGCTTTGAACTGCCTTTGGGTAAGTGCTCGAGGAAGAATTTTGAACCTACTGGTCAAAGGAGAGTTCCCAGAGTTTTTTCCAAGCTCTACTCTGTTTCCTTTTCCTTCACTCTGAGACTTGCTAGAATCTGACCTATGTCTAGCATTTTATATCAAGAAAATATACGCTATGTGGACATCCATGAACCAAAATGCAGAAAATATAATGGCGGGCATTTGGTTGAGGATTAATGAATAGAGAACACACATAATATTGTAATACCAGCATATTACAGACTGCTTGGCCAGAGGGAAGAAATGGATAATGATTTCTAGAAGCAGATCACAAGGAGGACTTATGTAACTGTGATGAGTGACTTCCAACCACCATCTGCTAAAGTTCTCTGCTAAAAGGTGGGTAGCTGAACATTGGCATGTGGACCTGATTCTAACCAATAAGGAGCACCTGGAACCCAAAGTAGAACTTAAGAGAATGTTAGAATTTGTGATAGATGAAAAAGGGCATTGTCAGGTATGTTTCCTATGTTTGACAGGACGGAGTTCAGAATTCAGAGAAAGGATAGGTAGTATTGTAAGGTTCTACAGAGGATGTCAGCTCAGGAGTGATGAGATTTTTTCAAGAAAGAAATTCTGATCATATAAAAGCAAATTATTCTAATACAGAACAAAAGAGCCAGCTGCCTTGAAACCACTGTGACTACACTGAAAGTTCATCCTCTACTGAGATTTAAAGGACACCTGAAGAAGAAATCAAGGACAAGTGATAGAGAATGAGTACAAAGCATGTTGTGATCCTTTAAGGATAGTGTTAGCCACACTAAATCCCAGAATGAGCTAAGGCTGGTAGTGAATGCTAATAATAATAACAAGGCCTTTCAAATAGATTCAAAGCTCAATAGGCCTCAACAATATATTGAAGTGATCAAAACAGTTAACATTAATCCTTTCTTGTTGTGGAGTCATTTCAGTAATGTCCCATTCTCCATGACCCCATCTGGGGTTTTCTTGGCAAAGATACTGGAGTGGTTTGTCATTTTCTTCTCCAGCTCATTTTGTAGATGAGGAAACTGAGGCAAACAGGGTTGAATGATTTGCCCAGGGTCACACAGCAAGTAAGTATCTGAGGCCAGATTTGAACTCAGGTCTTCCTGACTCCAGGCCCAGCACTCTACCCACCACACCAACTAGCTGCCCAATGTTATCCTACTCTGCCATTAAAAAGGCATGGTATCCAGAATGGAGGTGGTGAAGACACCCAATGTCCTCTGCTCTAATCATACCATATGTGGAGATTGTGTGCTATTCTGGGTATCACATTTTAGTAAGGTTATTGATGAGCCAGAATGTGTCCAGAGATCGGGGACCAAGATACAAAAGAAACTGGAAATCTTGAAATATGAACATAAGGTGAAGGAACAGTGAATGTTTAGCCTGAAGGAAAGATTTGGAGGACATGAGTATTGTCTTCAGGTATTTAAAGTACTGTCGTGTGCCAGGTCTTGTTGGCCTTGACCCCAGAGGATAAAATGAGGAGCAAGGGTACAAAGTCCATTCAAGCTCAGTGTAAGGGGAAAAAAAACTTCACAATTACAGCTAGCTAAAACAGGAATGGGATCCTTTTAGAGGTAGTGAGTTTTCTGTTATTCAAGACTTTCAAGTAGAAGGTGAATAACTACTTCTCAGGAATGTGACAGTAATGATTACTATTTAGGTATGGATTGGTCTGTATGACCTCTTTCTCTCACACAGATGCTGAGATTCTATAAGGATATCTCTATCTTGGGAACATTCTGAGCCCTTCTCCTAAAGCCAGACCCATCCCTTGGTCTTTTCACCTTGAGATAGAACTAAGAAATTCTGATCCTTGGTAGAGTTCTGCAAGTTGGCCTCTAGCTTCACCATCTTTGATAGACAACCTTGGCCTCTTTTCCTAAATATTCAGAACATCAAAGAAATCATTCCTCCTCTTGTCTCAGACTGGATTGTCCTACTTGCAGAAAGTCAACTTGTATTGTTAGGAAATAACGAGCTCCCCATCAATGTACAGATATTCAAGAGAAGATTGGACAACCTCTTATCAGGGATGTTGTAGAGGGGATTCCTGCTTGGGCAAGGGTTGGTGTAGGTGCCCTGAGATTCTGTAATAAGTGTCTACTGTGTACAGAGCACTTTCCTAGCTAGTCATTTTTCTCAGGTGGTTGGAAATGATGGCTATGGCCATAGCAATTTAGCTTAGTTACTGAGAAAGAGGGGACCTGAGGACAACTCTATCACCCTTCAGCTGGAGGCACCTTGTGCAGCTGCTTTCCTCAAGCCTACTTGTGCTTGCTATTCTCTCCACCACAGGGCCGCCATTGTTAGCAACTTCTCATTTCCAGGGCATCAGCCTTGGTTCCAGAGGGGTGCCAAGGAAGGACAGAGCAGCCATGGAATGAGAAGGGACCAATGACTAGCCTGAAGATTACCTTGATTGAGTGTTAGGGAAGAAGATTCCATTTATAGGGCACAAACTCTAAGAGGTCTTTGATGGACCCATGGTTCTATTGATGCAGTTCGTCTCTCCATTGACAGTGATCACAAGAATCTCATCCTATAAAATTCTTGTCCATGTCCTTCCATCAATTCTCCATGCAGGAGCTACTCAACTTTCTAGGAGCCTTTCCTCTAGATCAGGGGTGTTTAACCTAGGGGCCAAGGCCTTGGATTTTTTTTAATTGGTAATTATACTTCAATTGGTTTCTTTTGTAATTCTGTGTATTTTATTTTGTGCAGTTAAAAACATGATCCTGAGAAGGGGTCTGCTCTGCAGTCTGCAAAGTACACGTATACTTTGCAACTTTCCATTGCCTTTTGGGTCACTAGCATTTTTGAGATCTTGATACTTTATGATCTGAAGCCATATAGCATTCTGAGTAGACTGTTGATGTTTAAAAGGATGGACTTTTTCAGCCTGGGATCACTGAAAGCAATGAACAGCTTCCCAAATGCTATCCATTCTGTTCTGATCTTGTCCAATTTATTGTCCATCTGCCATGCCTATCCCAGGTATATGCACTGATGGACTAACTGAATGGGCTGCCCATCCTACTGCTTCACATTCTTTATCCACTTAGCTTTTTGGGTGCAGACAGGCTAGTTTTGTCTCATCTGATGGCTCATGGAAATCACTTTAGGAGGTCCTTTACTGTGCAGAGCTTGATGATTCTAGCCCAGTGTAAAAATAGGAATACCTAGAAATCCTTGCAATCAATTCAGAATCCTTCTTCCATTTAGCCTACATCATCCTTGGTTATATCAGCAAACACATTTGTCAAGTATATGTCTCTCTGTTTTATGCCTAACTTGCTTAACAATTTAATTCCATGGTAGCATGAAATAATGGAAAGAATTCTATACCGGAAGCCAGGAGACCTGCATTTAAATCCCACCTTAGACATTTACTTTGTTTGCCCATGGCAAGGCACTTAATTTCTCAGAGCTACAGTTTCCTCATCTATAAAATAGGGATGATAATTCTTTCAAAAACTGATAGGCTTATTGTAAAAAAAAAAGCACTTTGAAAACCTTGTAGTGCTATATAAATGAGTTATTATAATTCAACAAACCCTTATTAAGGACCTACCGATATTCAGAGAATTATTGAACAAAGTTATCTCTGCGATTGCATTTGTTGTGGAAGCTTGTATAATAACCTATGCAGGAGAAATACTTTATTGAGGAGAACCTTTAAGGGTACATTTTGTTCTACTCAGTCAAATGCTTTTATTTATTTTTTTTGGGGGGGTGGTAATGAATGAACAGTAAACACAAAGGGATTTTGTATTTTCTATACCTTTCATTGGGCTGTTAGGTGGTGCAGTGGAGAGAGTGCTGGGCCTGGAGTCAGAAACGCTCCTCTTCCTGAATTCAAATCCATCCTCAGACATAGCCATGTGACCCTTGGCAAGTTACTTCACTTTGTTTGCCTGAGTTTTCTCATGTGTCAAGTGAGCTGATAAAGGAAATGGCAAACCACTCCAGTATCTTTGCCAAGAAAATCCTAAATGAGATCACGAAGAGTTGGACACGACTAAGCAAGGACAAAAATACCTTTCACTGTGTGGCTATGAAGATGTGGTATGATACGGAAATTTGGTTGTAAAAATCTATTACTCCTTATATTTTCATCTGGGATACCCTCAACACCTATCTATGCCATTCTTACAAAGTTTTTACGTAGATGGGAAAGAAAGTATTGATTTACAGTTGCTGGTATCTTTTCAGTCAACTTCTCTTTAGTAATAATGCTGTCCATGAGGTTTCTTTTTTCATTCTTTTGGAAATTCATCACCTTTGCAATATCCTCAAAACTGATTCTTTCATGTCTTTAAAAATATCACGTCCATATGGACTTCTTGTGCATTTGGGTAGGTAAAGCTGTTCTCACTTCTTGAGTGCCAATTTCCACTTCCACATTGAGTACTGATGTGGTAGAGTCTATATATGGTGATTCTACTGTTATTTATGATGAAAATAAATTATATGGAAATGCTGGTAAGTGCTGTATTTCATATCTATTGTTGAGTTTCCCATTTCAGCTATAAATATTGTCAAGATTATGGGGCTTTGTTGGATCCTACACCAATTATTTGGAGCCTTCTTTTCTCATTCACTACTTTTCACTCTTCTGTAAGGCAATACTGTGAAAAATCTTACATCCTCTTTTTCTGTGATGTTTTGCAAATGAGCAAGTGTTGTACTCTAAAGTGGTATGGCCTTTGTTTTTTATACCTCTCTGGTTGGCAGAGATCAACGTTTGCTAGCTGAATTGCTTTCTGGGCTCTTTTAGCCTCCTAGTTGTGGTGACTGTTTTATATTTGTTAAATTTTTCTAAGAAATAATGATAATTAGACCCAATATCTTTATTTTTTCATTTTTGGATGATAATAAGAATACAGGATTATAGATATCTTTTTAAAAGAGGATTTAGAGGCAATAGTTTATCTTAATAGGTGACTTGGAATGGTTATAATTGTTGTAACTAGCTTCATGATGGCCTCCTTGCCTATGCTCATCATAAGCACTGCAACTTGAGGTGACCAAGTATACCATGACATGATCTTTCTTATCCATGGGTGAATTATGAAACCAACTCCACTAGTTACTTTATTTACCTCTCTGAGGGGAACTTGAGAGCCAGACTTCCATTTAGCTGCAACTTCTTGATGTCTTCTGGTTTCATATAAAGAATGTAAATGTGGATGAGGTTCAGTTCCTCCAGGACTGGGTCAGCTCACTGGTGATCAGATGAAGAACTTACATTTAGAGTACTGGTGTTTAAACTGATGTTTTGTAAACAACCTAAAAATGGTAAGATTCTCTTACCTTCTTTTCATCCTCTACATTCTTTTCAACCACTCTACTCTAGTCACTGTAGAATGAGAACCAAAGGCCATTTGATATTTTTATCTGTTCCAATGTATTGCCATGGCCAAAGAATTCATCATTTAATAACCAACAACCTGGTAATGTGAGTCTTTGAACTAATTTAGGCCAGTCCTAGGATTGGACAGCTTGTTGCTAGGACCATACCAAAAGTCTTTCCAGTTTAGTAGGATCTGCCAGAGCTTACATGTACACTGGCAAAATCCTCCAAACCTGGTTTACCTCCATGCCATAATGAGTGAGCAGATGAAGCCTTTTGTAGAAAGGACCTACTTTGGAGGTGGGAAAAGCAGAAGCAGGGGAACAGAGAGAGAAGAAGGAGGAGGAGGAGGAGAGGAAAGGAGAGAAGAAGAGTGGAGAAGACAGAAGAGAAGAGAGAAGACCCAAGCCTTTCTTGCTCATGCCTTCCAGGAACTGAATTTGCTGCCATGCAGCTGCCTAATTAATGCTAATGATGAACTACTTTTAATGATGAATTACCTCTTTCCTTGGTCATCCATCACTAAGAGTACCTGTAGGTGAAGCAGCTTTCTTCTCTCTCACACTTTTCTTTTCTCCCTCCCCTCCCTCCTCTCTTCCTTTTGCCCCATCCTTCTCCCTTCTCTTCTTGCATCCCTCCCCACCAGCCATTGTCTTGGGACAACCTGTTTTTCTCTCCCATGCTTCAATCCATGTCCCAGGGGGGCAAAGCCAGTGGGAGGTTCAGGGACACAGGACTTCCTGCTAGGCTGACAGATGTGGATTTGGTTTTCAGACATCCCTGAGGAAGAGGCTCGGTATTGGGCAAAGAAGCTGGAGCAACTGAATGCTATGAGGGACCAAGATGATGTAAGTAGACATGGACATGGTGCCCAGATTCTGTTTGCCCCAACACATGGCTATCTCTGGGGACTGTGTGAGCAGTTCACTCAGTCTACTGGTTGTCCAAATTCTTTTTCTTAGTGGAGGAGAGTGGGGTAAGACAGACCTGTGGTTGGGTAGGCGATGGGATATCTGAGTTCCACATTTCTGACTTAGGGCAGCCTAGAGTCCTCTGCCCTCCCTGAGCTTCCTTCTCCCATTCGCTCTTCTCCCTTCAGTATTCATTCCAAGAAGAACAGGACAAGCCTCTTCCGGTCCCCAGCTCCCAGTGTTGTAAGTACTGCTCTCTTCCTTTCATGGCCCTAAACAGCAGGGTCCGTCCCTGGGGCACAGGGCATTAACGGGCATAGCACATCCCTCACTGCCTTATTGCCTGACCGCCTGCCTGGGTCTGGTGCCACCTAGGATTTGGGTTTTGGATGTCTTCTGAGATATAATTCTTGGCTTTGATCCCTCCTGGCATCCCCTGGGGTGTATATCTTCACATTCCAAGGAGCTAGGCTTACTTAGGTCTGATTGCCCTTGCAGATCCTACGGGACCCACTTCTCTGAGGTAAAAATAAAATAATAAAACAACCCAGTAGACCTCTAATGACTTCTACCTTTGAACTCCCAGTTCAACTTACCTTATCTGGAATTTATACACCACCAGATTCAAATTCTCTGTTTTGGGGGAGTATTTCACCAGTAGAGTTATCTCTCATTTCTAGCAACCCCTGACCTCTTCCAGAGCCCTGGCCCTGCCATTCCCCAAGGCCCCTCTCTCCCTGGCTCCTCTTTCCTTCTATCCTTCTCCTATCCTCCTCCTCACCTTCATATATCTCCCTGTCATCCATTATCCCTACCACCCTACCCCGACTTCTACATGTGCCTGGGATAGATTGAGGGAAAGAGTTGGAAGGGGGAATGGCCAGTTACTCAGAATCTAGAAGAACAATCTAGTGGAAAGATGTAGGTCTAGGAGCATGGAGACTTGGGTTCCAGAAGTATCCAATAAACCATTGTGCACTATAATAACATGGGAAGAGTTTTTATTTTTATTAGCCACTTCTGCCACTAACTCACTGTGTATCCTTGGGCAAGACATTCAGTCATGTGCCTCAGTTCCTCATCTGTCAAAAGAACAGAATAATCTCTGCTACCTTCCCAAGTTATGCTGGGAATCAAATGAAATGATAACATTAAACTTCTTTGGGGAATTGAAAGCACTCTCCAGACATGAAGGATTTTTTTTTTTTGCATGGGGACCTGCTGTAGCTCCCAAAAAGGGGAAAGAGCAGGGAAATGGGGAAAATTGAGATAAAGAATGTTGGGAGCATGACAGGAGAGACTGCTCACCTCTTTGGCAGGTGGAATTAGGTTGGGAATTGGGTGAGATATGGAACACCAAAAAGATATGGAAGAGATCTATGTCAGGTAAATACCTTTCTTTTCCTCTTCCTCTTTAGCTGCTTAGTTGGTCAAATGCTCAGATAGACACTTAGCAACAAAGAGACCTATGGGAACTAAGAAAGTTCACCAAGAGAACAGCTCCCACTGTCAGATTCAGTTGTCGTTGGACCTCTCTTGTCCTAGTAAGGAACCAGTTGGCGTAAACCTGCTCGGGCTAATGCTTGCAAACAGCTGGCTGGCTGGGCAGGGAATCAGATGGATTGATAATAGACATATTTCCCTAACAACCAAGATCTCAGCCCAGCTTTGGATGCCAGGTTGAACCACTGAAGAAGGGAGGCTTCCATGCCGTACCCACCCAAGGCTGTCCCATCCATCTGGGTACACAACAGTCCAGGGCCAGTAGGTGAGAAGAAGTACGGCACCTGGATCAGCAAAGCTTCTGACAAGTAAAAGCTCAGGCAGTAACGCTCTTCCCCTGAAAACCCAGGGCCACAGCCAAATTAGAGTCTGAGGATTCTCTGTCCAAGCGCTGGGTTGAATCCAAGTGCCAGGGAAAGTGGGCAGGCAAGGGAGTTAAATTGGCAGTGGGTGTTCTGACCTCATGCCTGGCATCAAAGGTAGCATCACTAACTTCTGGAAGCCAGGGCAGTTTTTCTCATTGACGGGATGATGGAATCAGGCTCAGAGCTAGCCTGTAAGAGAGGCAACATGTCACAGGGGAAGGAACGCTACATCTCAGGTGGTGAAACTTGGTTCAAATTTGACTCTGCTCCTCATTAGCCATATGACATAGCAAATCCCTTAACTTCTCTTTGCCTCAGTTTCCTCACCTATAAAAGGAAGGGGCTTTATCTACCACATGAACTCTAAGATACCTTCATGTTCTAAATTGAGATTTCACCATGGCTAGAGGGCTGCGCTTGGAGTCAAGCAAGACCTGAGTGTGACCCTTGCCTCAGACACTTAATTACCTGTGTGAAATGGCAGGTCACCTAACATCCCTGTGCCTATGCATCTATCCAAGGAGGGGGTTGGACCTGGCCTCTAAGGTCCCTTCTAGCTCCAAATCTATGATCCTATGACCCCCTCACCTAGTGTCCCAGTATTGGGGACTTTTTTGGGTATCTATGCCATATGATATACCCAAAGGCCAAGAATCCAGTCCTGGCTCAACCATTAACATGCTGTGTGACCCTGAGTGAATCACTTCTCTTTCCTGTGCCTCATTTTCCTCCATCTCTAGAATGGACATAATCCCTACCAGGCCTCCTTTACAAGGTAGCCATGGGGGCCAAATGAGATAATGCATGTAAATTGTCAAGTGTGAATTGTCAAGTGATAGCTAAATGTCCCAGTGGATAGGGTGCTGGACTTGGTATCAGGAAGCTCTGAGTTCAAATCCTGCCTCAGACTCTTAACTAGCTGTGTGACCTTGAGCAAGTCACTCCACCTCTGTCTGCCTCAGTTTCCTCATCTGCAGAATGAGGTAACTGAACTCAATGCCCTCTAGGGTCTCTTCCAGCTCTACCGCTATGATCCCAGGACCCATAAAGTTTTACTCTTAGCATCTGAATGCCCTCCACCCAAGGGATGCTGGCAGATTGGCCACTTCCTCCTTTAAGATACAGGCTCCTCTCCACCCCCTCTCTCCCAAGAAAAGGAGGAAGAGACCTATTTCAACAAGGAGCATGATACTTGTGCCGTTACGAGCATCTACCCAGGTAGTATTAGGTAACTGAGAACCTCCAATGCTGTATCCTTCACAGACATGCATGTTTCTTAGCCTGAGTGATGCCCTAAGGCAGCATGGCATGTCCCATGGACCTGAAGTCAGGAAGATCAGGGTTCAAAGGCTGTCAATGAAAGTGGACAAGTCACTTAACTTCTCCCAGATTCAGTTTCCTCATCTGTAAAATGGGGATAAAAATAGCAGCTATCTCATAGGATTATTGGAAGGCTCAAATGAATTAATTTATGCAAACCTAAAAGAGCTATGTAAATATAATCTATTATTATTATTGATCCCATCAACATCCCCTGGCCCACACAAAAAAAAAAATGGTGGGGGAGGGGTCAAAAGGAGGATTCTCTCCAGTGAAATCAATCAGAGGAAATCCTCACCCACTGTATAAGACCCCCACTTCTCACCTCATAAGTTCTTTGCCTCTGAAACTGGATGCATGAGTGAAAAAAACCCACTTATTAAGCATTTACTATGTGCCTAGCACTGGGAATCCCAATAGTTCCTACTCTGCTTTGAGGGGTCTTTCCTTATGAGCAGTGTTCCTTCTCCCCCTAACCTAGCCCATGACTTTGGTCACACCTACTTCCTTAGCACGACCTTCATAAGATGCTCGGTACACCTCCAACTTTTCTCTGATTCCTCCCTCACCTCTCCTCCCACCCACCAACTCCTCCCCAACCTTCCCCTCCCCCCTCCTTCCCTTTCAGTCCCATTCTTTTCCAGTGTGGGGGAGGGAAGCTGGACTTTGGACTGTAAAATTCCAAACTGCTTTGGATCAAGGGACAGGGGGCAGTGATGGAGAGAGGGAGGTGGCCTGCGAACAATGGGGGAGGAAGAGAGCAGGTGTCCAGAGGGTGCTCACAATTCAGCCCCTGCTCCCTGTCCTGTGCCCTCTTCCATGCCCACTGCCTCAAGTCCTGCCCATATTTTTCTTTGTAGGCAACTGGAGTTATTTTGGCTGGGGGGAGCAGCAGAGTAAGTACTCAGCCGGCGATTTGTCCAGTGTGAGGGGGCGGAGTGGGGGCATATGGCTCCCCGGATAATGTTCCCCCTCCCTTCCCCACCCTACCCCTGGAGAGAGCCGTGAGGAGCCTGGGGACAGTCAGCCCGGCACATCCCTGCCTTTCCCCTGTCCCTTCACCCCCTCACTCTCCAGTCTCTGGTTGGCCTCCCCTGGTGCTGGCAGGAGAGGTGTCCTTATGTTACCTGATAAGCAGAGGAAGAGTATGGGAATTTGGGGCTAATCTTGGAGCCCGTGCAAGGCATCAGCCTGATAATGAGGGCTACAATTTGGGACTGGATGGGACTAGATGCCCACAAATACCACCTTAGGGACCTTCAGGACCTCCACCTCTGCCCAAATCTCTCTCCCTACCCTCTGCCCCCATGTCCAATCCCATATCTCTTTCCTTACCTGTCACCTACTCCCTTGTTGATTCTCTCCTCCCCCTTCCTTCTCTCCCCCTTCCTCTCATGGGGGAGAGGGATGAGTGTAACTCTGGACAAGTCTTCTCTCTGAGCCTCAGTTTCCCTATCTGTAAAATGAAAGAGTTGGACTAGAATAATATTCTAGTCAAACTAGATCATCTAGTCACTAGATGATCCCTAAGATCTTTCCGAGCTCTACTGTTACACTATTTTGTGAAAAGGGTCCAGAGGTGAAGCTAAAGATGGTGGCAGGGCTGTGGTGGTGGTTATTAGAAATCCTCAGTTACCTCTCAGTTCTGGAGGGATGGATGGGGATCTAGGTGGACATTATTCCAGTGGTCCTATGCCCTGAACTTCTGCCCATGCTGTGCCCTCAAACCCCTCACCCCAACAATTCCCTACATCTTCTCCTCCTGCTTCCAACAGAACATTCCAGCCAGTGGGTCAGTGTTGCTATACCTCTGAAGGAGTATCACCAAGGGGTGATAGGTGAGCCCCAGGCTGAGGAGGCAACCTTGACATTGTACCATGGATTGGACCTGGCCACCCCAGAGAGCACTTGTAGCCTCAGCACCATTGGGGATAGCTGGTTCTGGAAAAGAGTAAGGCAGGTGGAGCTACCATGCCACTTATGTCTCCTCAAGGCCCACTTGAGGCCTGGTAAACCAGTCCTCCTTACTTCCTTCTCCAGGCCTACTTAAGCCCTGGGTATATTTCTGTTGACCACAGGTCTGCAGGTGCCTCTGCCTCCCATATGATGCCCTGATATCCTGTGTCCTGTCTCCTCCCTTCTTCCTCTCTCCAGCTTGGGCCATCCATTTTCTATGGACTGTGTTCCAAACTTCTACACTTCCCATTTGCCATCATGGATCTCTCTATCACCTCTCTTTTATTCCTTTCTCTTTGCCCCTTGTTTTACTCAAAGCCCATCCGGCTCCATTCCTCAAGCACCACGAAGGCCCAGCTGAGCGTCTCTTCCTCCCTTCCAACCTTCCTTTCACGTTCTCTCCCATATAAGGAGTCACATGGCACATCCCATGTTAAAGAAAACTCCTTTGACTTGCATGAGATATTTAATCTTACTCTGTGTAGGGACAGAGGGGAGGAAAGCAGCTGGCATTGGGGATACCCTAGGTCTTGGGGGGAGTACCCCTAAATTCACAATCACTTTTTTGATCAAAGGCATTTTGGTGCCACACATAGTCCCTGGAGGGGAGGAGGTTGGGTTGTCTATTGGGGACAACCCTCCAGCCCACCTCCCAGCCCTTCATCCTTTTCCTTTCTGCATTCCTCCCTCCCAATTGGGGGACTTTTCCAGATGAAGACCCAGACAGCGCCGTGGATGACCGGGACAGCGATTACCGTAGCGAGACCAGTAACAGCATCCCACCGCCCTACTACACCACGTCCCAGCCAAATGCCTCTGTCCACCAGTATTCAGTCCGACCTCCTCCACTGGGCTCCCGAGATTCCCGGGATTCTTACAGTGATTCTATGAGGAGCTATGAAGACTACTCAGAAGCACCTCCAGTCAGGTACCTGGGTAGGGACTTGAAGAGGAGAAGGGGTGGCATGAGGAAGGACAGGCAGGAATGGAAGGAAAGAGACTGTCTAGTCCAATTCCTCTTTCATAGATGAAGGAACTCAGACTCAGCAAGGGGCAATGAACTTCCTTAAGATCACCCAGTTAGTATTGGAAGTAAACCCCAGATCTGACTTGTAGGCCAGCATTCTCTGTGAGACAAGTCTGCCTCCTGCTATATTGTTGAATGGAAGAGTAAGGTGCAGGGAAGAGGAGAAGGAGGAGGTGGATGGAGCTTGGGCTCTAAAGAGGAAATGGACCCTGCTTCTGGGCACAGGGTAAGGTCTAAGAGTTTTGATCTTCTGGAAAACTCTAGTCCAGAGGTTCCTAACCTTTTTATTTCATCATGGATCCCTTTGACAATCTGATGAAGCCTATGGATTTATCAGAATGATGTTTTAAAATGCATTAAATAATTACAAAAAATTATTGGAAAGTAATTATGACAAAAACAAGTTCATGACCCCTAAGGTTAAGGACCACTGTCTACTCTAGCAAGGAGTTGCCTCACTCACAGGTGCAGGATCACTGCAATGAGCATACTGCCTTGCACAGAGTTGGTGTTTAATCCAAAACAGGTTGGATTTTCAAAATTGAATTAAGTTGTCATCAGGACCAGGCAAGTTAAAGGGGCTGTTCTTGGTTGGCCCAAAGATGATACTGAAACATGGGCAAATAACCCAAATGTGTGGGGCCCTGAAAACGGGTTGTTATCTTGGGACATTCATGAGCCCAGTGTAGGCAAGGGGGAAGAGCTTAGCCCTCCTGCCACATGGCACCCAGCTGAGCTGATCCCAGGGTAACTCCACCCATTGACATTTGCCCTCCCCTCCCCCGGGGGAGCCTTAGCTAAATACTCCTCCCCTACCTGCTGACCATGTTCCTCCTCCCCTTTCCCCACTCCCTGGCAGACGCTTCAGTAGCGTCGATCCAACCACTCGGGGCCACAGCGACTCGGAGGCTGGCTGGGGCCGGCCAACCCGCCACCATTATTCCCTTGAGAACAGGCCATCCTTAGACCTGTCAGATAGGTGGGTCCTTTCCCTGTTGTGAGCCTCATGCCCAGTCCAGTGCTGTGGTCTGCTCCTCGTGGGCTGGGGCAGGCCGATACCGTTGGCCAATCACTCCTGGTCCATATAACTCCCTCTTGGGTGAGTGGGAGGGCACATTTTCCAGGTATCAGCAGAATGAATGGCATTTTAAGCAGATCTTTCTTCCTTGGCCCCTTCCCAAGGAGGCCCTGTCTCCTGTCTTCATGGGGAGCCCCTCCCAGTCCCCTTCATCCTTTTTCAAGAAAGAATGTCTCATAAAGTTGTAGCTCCCATAGTGAGAAAGCAGGCCATCTGGTCCAGCCCCCAAACCTTAAGGAAGGTGAGGTATTATTGAACCCATTTTACAGATGAGGCAGCAGAGACCCAGAGAGTTTAAGTGGTTTGGATAAAGTCATCTACCTGATGGGTAGTGGTGACTGTGGTTGGGTAGAAGAGGGAAGTTAGCACCTCATTCGTAATGTAGCGTGGTCTCCTTCCCACTTATCCGTATCGATGATGATGCTACTAATCTATATCGAGGCCGTTTCCCATGTTGTCTCCCATTGGAGCCACACACAGCCCCAGGAAGGGGAGCAGATTACAGGCTATTGTCCTTTCGCAGAGGGAGGAAACCCAGGCTCAGAGACTAGAAATATCTTACTTAGTCAAGGTTATACCTTCATTCAGTTACAGAGTTAGGACTAGAACTCAGGTGTTTCAGCTCCTGGCCCAGAACCTTAGTAACCACAGGGGCAGAATGTCTGAGTGAGAAATAGTTCTTGGGGGCTTTCTGAGCCAGCCAGACGTATCCACGGATGTGGTATCGGCCTCCCCCACACTGCCCCTGTCCTTGTCTGCATGGTGCGCTTTTCTGTCCCTTTGGGGGCCTCTTCTTCTTGTCCTTTGGGTTTGTCTACCTGTCTCTGTTTTGGATGTGTTTGCTGTGAGGGTAAGGGAGGAAGAAGGGAGGATGGGGTGGGGGGACTCAAGGTGGGTAGAAGGAAGAAAGATATTGGATATGGTCTTAATCTAAGATGGTATGGTGAACAGTTGGCCACTGATCTGTGGGACCTCCAGGGAAGGGAGATGGAGAGGGCAAAGGAATTCTGGGGAACAAAGACATAGAAATAAATTTGGGGGCAAAATGGCAGATGAGGGTAAGCAAATACCCATACCCACCTAGACTCTAGAGGGAGTCAGCACTGTCCACTTTAATACTTTCCACATACTTAGCCAGATTTTTAGAGAAAGTGCTCTTTTCCTTTAGAATAGTGGGTCCTTAGTCATATTGATGGAGAATGAGGCCTAGGGACAGATGCCAGTAGCCTTATGTCCTGGACTGAACTCCCTGGGCTGTAGGGTTGGCATCCAGGACATTTCTGCTCCGATGAGAGAGAAGGAAGTGGAATGGGGATAACTGTAGAGCTATCACCTTACATTATTTATATTGGGCTTTTATACTTCCCTGTGGAGAAGGGCACTTTTCCATATGGTTTCTCATTTATTCTTCACCAAAGCCCTGTAGAGCATGGACTATTCTTCTGGGGATACAGATTCAGAGAGGGGAAGCCTCACTCTATGTCCCACAGTTGGCCAGTGGCAGAGCTGGGGTGTTAATAAAGGGCTCTAGGCTCCCAGGCCTGACACTTTTCTACCATCTGCTAGTGTTCCAACCTTTTCTGACTTTGGGTTAGATGAGTACTTACCCTTAGGATGAATAACCCATCCCACTGAAGGCCATCTGGTGCTCAAGACTGGAAGGAAAGGGCACAGGCACTTCTGAATTGGAGACAACTGTACTTTTAACATCCATCTATATCTCCTCTCTCCTCACTCCCAACCCTGCCACCCATATAGCCCAACCGGTAGCAGCCACTACGCCTCCTCAGGGGAACTGAGCCAGGGCAGCTCCCAACTGAGTGAGGACTTTGATCCAGATGACCAGAGCTTGCAGGGCTCCGAAATAGAGGAAGAGAGGGACCGAGACTCTTATCACTCCTGCCATAGCTCGGTGAGCTACCATAAAGACTCCCCCCATTGGGATCAGAATGAGGAGGAGGAAGAGGAAGAAGAGGACTTGGAAGAGGACTTGGAAGAGGAAGACCTGGAAGAAGACTTGGAGGAAGACCTGGAGGATGAAGAGATGAGGCAGGGAGGCTACAGTGAGAATGAGGAAGAATACTCCAAGGAGGACAGCTACCTACCAGCTGTACCCACCTCCTCAGAAAGGGAGGAAAAGGTCTCTCCAGTGTCTGCCGAAGGCCCTGAAGTGACCAAGATGCCTCCAGAGCCAGCAGGAGCTGAGGAGGTGCCAGGGGGAGAGCGGGTACCTGAGTCAGAACCTCCGAAGCTGGAAGAGAGGTAAAGGAAGCATGATGCACAGGCAGCCATGGGAGGGTAGGGGAAGAGGAACAAGAGACAAGCAGGCTCAGAGTCTAGTCCTGGGCTCTAGGCCACACAGAGTACTGGGCGAAATAGTTATAGACCCAGAAAACAACCAGGGAGGCCCAAGATGCCTGGCTTCTCTACTCATTGCCTGTCTCTCTCCAGATGGGAGCATGAGGTCTGGCCCCCACCTCACCAGGGAACCAGGGAACCCCAAGCTGCTCCTCAAACAGACAGTAATATTGATGCATGGGAATCACTAGAGATCCAGACACTGGGGACCCAGGGGGGAACCTAAACGCTGGCCCTGGGGTGGGGCCGGTCTCAGTTACAGGGCTCGGGAAGATGAAGAGGGGCAAGACTCCATGTCCAGAGCCAAGGCCAACTGGCTACGAGTATTCAACAAAGTCCGAATGCAGCTCCAGGAGGTGAGTATGCCCTGTGAGGGGACCTGCCTCGCTAGGCAGAGACCAAGAACATCCGTGTCACAAGCCAGGAGGGGGTCTAGATTGGCTTGGGAAGTTCCCAGGTTTGTAGGACTAGATGTGGGGATTTAAGATTTGGGGTTAGGGTAGAGGTTAGGATTAATATCAGGGTTAGGGTTGGGTTCAAGATTGAGGTTATGATCAAGGTCAAGGTTGGCCTTGCAATCCAAGTTATGCTCAGGATTAAGGTTTAAATTAGGCTTGGTTTTAGGATTAGTGCCAAGCATTGAGTTGGGTTTATGATCAGGGTTGGGGTTATTGGGCAACTAGGTAGTGCAGTGGATAGAGTGATGGGCCTACAGTCAGGAAGACTCATCTTCCTGCGTTCAAATTTGGCTTCAGACACTTACTAGCTAGGTGACCCTGGGCAAGTCACTTAACCCTGTTTGCCTTAGTTTCCTTTTCTGTAAAATGAGCTGGAGACGGAAATGGCAAACCACTCCAGTATCTTTGCCAAGAAAACCCTAAATGGGGTCATGAAGAGTTGGACACAACTGAAACTACTGAACAACGTTGGGCTTAGCATTGAGGTCAGAGTTAGAATTTGGATAAGGATCAGGGTTAGATCTGGGATTAGGATAGAATTCATGATCGGGGTCAAGGTTGAGTCAGCATCGCATCTGAGAGGAAGGTCATCGTCATGACCAGGATTAAGGTGAAGGTCATCTGTCAGATAATGGTGAAGACTAATGTCAGAGTTAAGAACCATGGGTGGGCACATTTAGCGTGGGAGTCAGGAGTAGATTGGCAGGCAGGACTGGGTTCTGGGATGGGAGCCAGAGGGGAGGAAGGAACTGGTCTGGGTAGCTGAGAGAGTCTCAGGTTGGGCTGCATTTAATCAAAGCTCAGCTGGGCAGGGGTGGGGATTGTGCCTCTGTTCGCCCCTTGCTCCCTCCATTGTCTCCACTGAATCTCTTGTCCTCCCGTTGCCTGGCTCTAGCCACCCTCCCTCACCTCCATCAGCCATCATTTCTTTTTTGTTTGCCTTTGGCTGCCCTTCGGGTCCTCTCATGCTTTTCAGTTGCTCATCACCATCACTGCCCTCATGCCCTGTGAGCACCACTGGCACAGGTAGGTGTGTCCCCTCCCTCAGGGTCCCCAATGGACACCAGAGCAGGAGGGGGAAGAAGGCACAGTCCAGGAGATGGGCAGGGATCCCAAGAAAGCAGTTGGTCTCTCTCCTCTGCCCTGTTCTCATGCCCTTAGCATCTCTTTAGTGCCTGGCATAGCTTGCTAGGCTCCAGAATGGGATGTTTTGGTTTCAACTCAGAGATGCAGGGGAGACAAATTAATGTTTTGTCAAGATACATGAAACACTGAGATCCCTCCACTCTCATCCAGGCAGTGGGTGGGGAAACCTGCTCCAATTAAAACCTCTAAAATAACAGCCATCTTTCATCATTTCTATGGCATTTCCTCAAGGCAGACTGCTGTGAAAGTATCACCCCCATTTGACAGTCGAGTTCACTGTGATTTAGAATGGACAAGTGAATGACTTGTCCAAAGTCACATTGAGATAATGACTGAGTCGGGACAGAAGTTGTCCTATTTATAATCTGCCTTGTTTCCCAAGGGTCTCAGGAATAGGATGGACCTGGGGTTGGTTCAGACCCTCCTGTCCCATTGCCAGTGGACACCCCTTCCCCACCCATTAACACTCATTAATACATTAACATTAACCCTCTGCCTCATCCCAGGAATCCTTGACACTAAGGTCAGACTGGATAGATGAAAGCTAAGAGATTGGATTGATGGCCAGGAAGTCTTGAGGGGGAGGGATCAGGGCAGCAGGGACATTCCTCTCAAACCTCAGGCTACCGAGCTATAAGAAGGAGGCTGAGCTCCAGGGTCTTGGAGGGACTATGGGGGCTTTGCTCCCCTTAGGAGGCCCAGGCTAGGAGAAGAGCCAGGATCCTGGAGGTTCACAGAAATCCCCCCAGGGTGTCCATCTGTGAGTTGGAGGGGGGTGGAAGGGATGGTGACTGCCCTTTGGATAGAATGTCACAGAGTTGTGATTGTCCCTCAGGCTCGAGGAGAAGGAGAGATGTCTAACTCACTCTGGTTCAAAGGAGGGTAAGTAGCTAAACACAGGCCCCTCAAGCCCAAATTTCTCCCTCCCCTTCCCTGGGCACTGCCTAGAATGAGCTTCCTACTTTGGGAGGGCAGATCGAGGACTCAGGTTTGTAGGTACATTTGGGTGTTTAGAGATCCCAGAAGTGAAAGAGCATTGTGCCCTCATGCCTTGGAAGTTTGAGGTACCAAGGTAGGCCCCTAGGGTATTGTAAGGGGGCCCACAGGCATGAGCAGTGCCCAGGGGGATTCTTTGCTGTCTCTCTCCCAGACCTGGCGGTGGTCTCATCATCATAGACAGCATGCCTGACATTCGAAAAAGAAAGCCGATTCCCCTTGTGAGCGACCTGGTGAGTAAGCAGCATGCCCTTCTCTCCTAGTCCTGACCTGTCTCCAGAGCTGGTCCAAGGGGTCCACTGGGACTGTCTCCCTTTATTTTCCTGGAGCCCAATGCTACATCACATTTAACTCCTAGTAGTATCATGTCTCTGTCTCTTTTTTCTTGGTCCTTTTTTCCTTCTCCCCCATCCATAATAATAATAGCAACAACAATAATAATAATATCCAGCCTTGGACACTTCCTGACTGTGTGACTCTGGGAAAGCCACTTAACTTCACTGGGCCTCAGTTTCCTCATCTGCAAAAAGGACATCATAACAACACCTGCCTCACAGGGCTATTGTGTTGCTTTGTTACTCTCAGAGTGCTACATAAATGCTAGCTATTAGTATCCTCATTTTATTTCCTTGTTGAGGGAACCGAGGCTTAGAGATGTTGCTTGTGACTTTCATCAGGGTCATAGAACACAAACAATGTGGAGAATATATCCAAAAAAATGGCAACTGGTGATAGAAAGGGCTTCAAGATCACACCCTCTGATAATCAGTTGAAGGAACTGGGAATGTTTAGCTTGGAGAAGAGAAGGCTATAGGGAATGATAGTTTTGTTCAAACATTTGAAGGGCTGACATTTGGCAGAGAGATTAGGTTTGTTCAGATTGAGCATGTAGTAGGTGCTTACTAAATGTTTGTGACTTAACTACCTAAGGATATCTTTTCTTTGTCTAGTCAAATGACAAGTATTTCATAAGCACCTACTGTGTTCTAGACACTCTGATAAGTGTTGGAGACACAAAGAAAGGGGGGAAGGGACCAGTCCCTGCTCACAAAGAGCTCACAGTCTAATGAGGGGCAGGGGGAAGGAACAAGGAGCAAATGACTATTTGGGATGGGCATGGGCCCTGTCTACCAGGAAGCTCCCTCTTTCCCTCTCCATTCACTCTCAATCTGGCTCTTGATTCTCCTTTCCTGCCCTCTTCCTTCCCCTAAATGCTTCCTCAGTTCCATATCTGTAGCATCCAGTCCCATGACTTGGCCAACTGGTGCATATTTCCCATTGAGTACATTCCCAGAAAACCCTTGGGGGAATTTCTGGCTTCGGGAAGGGGAGGAGCAACTATTCTAACTCCCAGCGTATACCTCGGTGTAATGGAAGCAGAGTCGTGGTGAGCTAAGGCTTCCTGTTCTGACTATTCTGAACCTTCCCAACATCTCCCAGGAATGTGGCCAGAGATTCTGCCTTGTTGCTTCCTGGACTTTCCAGCATAAGTGCCCAGAGGTAGCATGGAGTGACGGAAAGAGCTGGATTAGGGCCCAGATCTCATCTGTGTTACTGTGCACTGCTATGGGCCTCAGTTTCCTCATGCCCTCATATAGGGCTTGGATTTCCTGATCTCCAAGGTCTCTTCCAGCTCTCCATCTATGATCCTATGACTGGCCTGCCATCCCCCATCCATCCCTGGCTACTGCTTATTCCCTAAAATTAACAGCATACAATCTCCACGTTAAAAATTTGAAGCAATAGCCAATCTCCTCCCTGCCCCCACCCCATTAAAGAGTTCCTTCTTTCTTCCTATAGAACATGGAAAGGCCACCCTGGAAAGGGCCTTAGAGCTCCTCTTCATTTTACAAAGGAGGAAACTGAAGCCTGGAGAGGATCCCTATTCCCTACCCCCAGACCACATCATACCAGCCAGGGCTATTCCTGGGCTGGGAGGAACAAAAGGGTGGAATCAGGCACTTTCCCATCTGACCCTGCCAAGGCCTCACTCCTTCCCTTTCTCTTCTCAGATGGGTCTGACATAAGTACCAGCTTCCCAGAGCACCCTTCCCATCCTGGGCCTGATACCCTTCACTCCTTACCACCTTGTACCATTGTAGTGCTTGTGACAGGTGGGAGTCACAACCTGCTTCTGTAGCCCAGGGAGGGGTAGGATTCTGGTGACTGGGCCCTTCCTTATCCTTAAGGTTGCCAGCCAAATGTGGGCCTTACTCCCATAGCATTTCCAAAGAAAACATTTGAGAGCAGGGCTTTCACAGACCTGGGCAGATAAATATGTCTGAAGGGGGTATGGTGTAAGTGTGTGTGTGTGTGTGTGTGTGTGTGTGTGTGTGTGTGTGTGTGTGTGTGTGTAAGGGAATGGTGGGTGTGGGGAAAGGCTCTCTGAAGCTAACACCATTCATTTCCTTTTCTCCTGCTGCCTGGATATTCAGGCGATGGTAAGTGACCACCATAGTTTCCTTCCCAACAATCCTACCCTCAAACACTCTCAATAGCCCTTCCTGCCTCTCCTACCTCCTGCTTACTGTCCCTAGGACACTTTAATATCCCAAAGAGCTTGTGTCCCACTATTGTCCTAGGAAACTAACCTTCCCACAGATGTGGGATGGCTAGGGGGTTCATGCCACAGCTATCAGTCGACAAGTGGGGGAGGTGCAAGAGGCAGTTAGCTCCTTCACCATGGTCCATGATACCAATGTGTGACCAGTGATTTCAAATGAAGACTGATGGTTCTGATTCTGTGGCTGGTGGTTTCATTCCATGGCTGGTGATGCTAACAATCATCATGATCAGGGATTCTGGTCCATAGCTGATTTCTTCCACCTTTGGCTTTCCTCTTTTAGTCCCTGGTCCAGTCCCGGAAGGCTGGGATCACCTCTGCACTGGCCTCCAGCACCTTAAACAATGAAGAGCTAGTAAGTGGGCATGGGTAGCGGGATGGTGGAGGAGAAGGGGCCCCCATTGGGAGCCTATGGATCTGGGCTTTTGCCAACAGATGCTCTGGCCTTGAGGATGGGAAAAAGCAAAATATAAGGTAATCCCCAAGTCAACAAGCATTTATAAGCACCTACTATGTGCCAGGCACTGTGCTAAGCTCTTCAGAAACAGAGAAAGGCAAAAGACAGTCCCTGCTCTTGAGCAGCTCATTAATGGTGGAGGCAACATGTAAACAAACAGGACATATGTAGAATAAACTGAAGATAATCTGAGAGAGAAATCACTAGTCTTAAAGGCCTCCTGCTGAAGTCTGGATTTTAGCCAGAAGCCAGGAAAACTAGGGGGCTGCGATAGAAGTTGAGAGAGTTTCTGGCAAGGGGATAGCCAATAAAAATGCCTGGAGTCCAGAAAATGAATGTTTGTGCAAGGAACAGCAAAGACGCCAATGTCTCTGAATTATAGGAAGGGGCCAAGTTATAAAGGGATTTAATGTCCAAAAAAAATTATGTTTGATCCAGGAGGTAATAAGGAGCCACTGCAGCTTACTGAATAAGAGTTAGAGACAGGAGGAAGGTGGTGTGACATGGTCAGACCTATGCTTTAGGAAGATCTCTGATGGCTGAGAGGAGGATACACAGGAATAAGGAGAGACTCAAGTCAAGGAGAATATCCAGAAGGCTACAAAAGTCCAGGTATAAGGTGATGAGGGCTTGCACCCTCAGGGTATTGGCAGAGTCAGAGGAAAGAAGGAGAGACGTTAAGAAGGCTGAAATGGTAGGACTTGGAATCTGACTGGATAGAGGAGTGGGCTAGGGGAGAGAGAGAGAGTAAGGAGTAAAGGATAACAGGTTTTAAGTATGAGTAACTGGGGAAACTTAGAAAGAAGGGACAGGATTGGGGAAGGGGGATAATGAGCTCAGTTTCTGATGGCTCAGTGTTGAGTTTAATGTCTATGGGACATCCTATTCAACAATCCTTCCTGACAACTCCCCTGACCAGCACCTATTTTTCAATGTTGCTCCTTACCAGGGACCAGGGTCTTCTTTGTAGGCATGAAAGGTGCAGGCTACAGGCAGGTGTAGACTCTCGGAGACTGGTGTCCCTGGCTTTTTTTTTTTTTTACTGCACAGTTTCTCAAAAGTGGTCCGCCTTTTTTGAGTCTTCTAGGAGAAGGAAAGAGGTGCCACAGTCAATTAAAAGGCATTTATTAAGTGCCTATGTGTGCCAGACACTGTACTAACTTCCAGCACAAAGAAGGGCAAAAAACAGTCCCTGCCCTCTAGGAGCTTATATCTTAATGGGGGAGATAGCGTTTAAACAACTATGTACAAATAAGCTTATACACAGGGTACATTGGAGATTATCTGAGAGGTAAAGGCACCAGCAATGGGGGGTGGAGCAGACTGGCAAACTTAATCAATGCATCTCTCTTAAGTACCCCCAATGGGCCAAACTCTGTTCTCTGCTGTCCTCGGAGCTCCAGAGACTGAGTAGGAAGCAAGACTCAGACCAGCAAAAAGACAGGAAACAAACAGAAGTTCCCATGAGCCAAACAGATCCTCAGAACTGGAGAATTTAGAGAGGGACTCTTGTGGACTGGGATAGATGGGGAGGGTTCCCTGGAGGAAGCAGGAATCCAGCTGGGCTTGAAAGGAGAATAAGAAATGGGCACAGAGGAAGAAGGGTCAAGGTGCTTGTTAGAAGTTAAAGGAAGTGTCGGAAGCGGACCAGGATGGTGAAGGGCCTGGAGACTATATGGTTATGAGGCTCTGCTGAAGGAACCAGGGATATCTAGCTTGGAGAATAAGAATTGGTTGGGGGGGAGGGAGAGTGGCAGGGGACATGAGCTCTCTTTTCAAGGATAACCAGCAGGTGTCCAACTATTTGAAAAAGAAGAGGGATTAGCCATGTTCTGCTTGGCCCCAGAGGTCAGGATTAGAAGTAAGGGGTGGGAGGAGGGGAGGAGTCAAAGAAAGGCAGATTTCTGGCACTAGGAGGAACTGGACAATGGGCCAAAGCAGGGGGACAATGAGCTTGCTGTCAGTGGGAGTCTTCAAGGGAAGGAGGGGTGAACCTTACAAGGAGATGACTTCTAAGGTCCTTTCCAGTTTTCAGGTTGTGATTCTGTGTTTGCCAGTATAAGAGGAGGGGTGTAGATGAAAGGGATGCTCTGTTGGTCCGGGCCCCTGCCATCAGATTCCCCTCTCTCTGTCTCTGTCTTCCTCTCTCTCCAGAAAAACCATGTTTACAAGAAGACGCTTCAAGCCTTAATCTACCCCATTTCCTGCACAACCCCCCACAACTTCGAGGTGTGGACGGCCACCACACCCACCTACTGCTATGAGTGTGAGGGGCTTCTGTGGGGCATTGCTCGGCAGGGCATGAGATGCACTGAGTGCGGGGTCAAGTGTCACGAGAAGTGCCAGGACTTACTCAATGCTGACTGCCTGCAGCGTAAGGACAGACCCAATGGGGACCATCTTGGGTGCACTCTCCCTAGGCCTTTTCTTCCCTCCCCTCTGGGGCACGAGGAGGCATTTTTCTGCCTCTCTCATCGTCTGTCTTCCCCTAAGCTGACTTAGGTCAACTCAGACACCAGCAGTGCCGACTCTCTTTATATCTTTCTTCCTGGATTTCAGCACCAGCTCCCCAGGTCCTACAAGGGACTTTGAGCCCAAATCCATAATCATCTCAGCTATTGGCATGGGCAGGCCTAGCATATGGCATACCAGACTCATGTTCAAATCTGCCTCACATTTGGTGGATTCCAGTGGCTATGGGGACCTGGGTATCCTAGGGCAGTGTAGGAGAAAGCAGGGATGTCAATAGCCAGGGCTCAACAGAAAATGGAGTAAGTGTGGAAGTGACCATTAGCTATGTGCAAGGTGAGGGATCTGGCTCAGTCAGGGGATGGGGAGAATGGGGATTCAGTAAAGAGAATGAAAAGCTCTGAGGGGAATGGGAATTCATTGGGCAAAGTGATGGGTGATCACTGGGTAAATGGAGGCTGCAGAGGCAGTGTGATACAATGAGAAAGAGTACTGGATTTGGAGTTCAAGTTTGGGTTCAAATCTTGGCTCTGCCACTGACTCCCTGTATGAATTTAGGCAAACCTCAGTTTTCTCATCAGCAGAATGACAGAGTAGAGCTAGATGGACCCTGAGGTCCCTTCTAGCTCTTAATTTTATCTGAGTTAAAGGGGGAGGGACGTCTGGAGGAAGGTGGGGAAACAGTGATGATGATTGGGGAGGGAATTGGGATTTAGTAAAGGGATTGGAGGATCAGTGAAAGGGACAGATGCTCAGTGAGGGTTTAACAGCCTAATGTCCAAGAGTTCTTTTGCTGCTACTCCAGGAGCTGCAGAGAAGAGCTCCAAGCATGGGGCAGAGGACCGCACACAGAATATCATCATGGTGCTTAAGGACCGCATGAAGATCCGGGAGCGGAACAAGCCTGAGATCTTTGAGCTGATCCAGGAGATCTTTGCGGTCTCCAAGACAACACATACACAGCAGATGAAGGCTGTGAAACAGAGTGTCCTGGATGGGACATCCAAGTGGTCGGCTAAGATCAGTATCACTGGTGAGGTCCACCTGGGTGCTGGGATGTATGACCCCAGAGGCATGGCAGTGGGGTGGGTGCCTGAGGGTAGGCCCAGTTTATGGTGTATAGTAGGCAGTGGTGGCATCTATACCCTTCACTAGTATCTCTTCTCAAATGGTTTTCCACCTCGCTATACCTACCCCAGGCCCTCTCTGGAATCACCAGGCTCCAAGCCACTTCCCAAGAAAAAGTTTTCTTTTGGGTCCCTGGGAACATCTCCTTGGCCCTCTAGTGATGTCCTTAGCACCCGCCTCTTAGTGGTTTTTTGTCTAAGCCAAGGTCCAGAGGCAACTTACACAGTGCTTAGGATAATGCCTAGCACATAGTAGATACTTAATAAATTATTAATTTGCTATTGACTTACTCCTTTGGATGCCCTGGGAAATGTCCATGCCACCCTGTGTCCTCAGCGTCCCCCTAGCACCATCTTATGCTTTCGGTATTACTTAGGGCCATCTTGCATTCCCAACACGCCACCAGTAGCACTTTGGGCATCTTGTCCCTAGGGTTGCCTTGTTTAGTTCAGTTCTATAGAGGCTTACAAGCATGTATGGGTATATGTACAGGTGATATGTGTGCAAGATTATGGTTTGTGTATTTGTGTCTGTATCTGATCATGTAATATATGTACATGTGAACACATGTTCTGGTATACATATGCACGTGTGTATGTATTATGCAAGTGTGCTAGTATACACACCCCTGAATCATGTACGTGTATGCTTACATTTGTGTGTGCACGTGTAATCTGATCTGGCGCATGCATTTGCATGTGCTCACACATGTGTTTGTATATGCATGTGTGTGTTCCAGTGGTCTGTGCCCAGGGCCTTCAGGCAAAGGATAAAACCGGCTCCAGTGACCCCTATGTTACTGTCCAGGTCGGCAAGACGAAGAAACGAACTAAAACCATCTATGGCAATCTCAACCCTGTGTGGGAAGAGAACTTCCATTTGTAAGTGCCCTCACCTGGGGGTCTCCCAATGCTCAGGGAGGACCCACCTGGCCCTGAAATCCCTTCTGGCAAGGAGGTTCAGTCCCCCTCCTTTCCCTCCTTCTCTCAGATCCCCCCTGGCACTGATGGCTGGGGCATGAACAGTTTCCCCTTCCCTCCATCTACCCCACAGTGAGTGCCATAACTCTTCAGACCGCATCAAGGTGCGTGTCTGGGATGAAGATGATGACATCAAGTCTCGAGTGAAACAAAGGTTCAAGCGAGAGTCAGATGACTTCCTAGGCCAGACCATCATTGAAGTCCGAACTCTGAGCGGCGAGATGGATGTCTGGTACAACCTAGGTGAGCACCCACAGAGCTGCTCCTGCTATGTTTGGACTTGGCGGGGAGAGGTGCAATGCTTTGCTGGGGGAAATCTCTGGTCTGAAGAAGAGACAAGACTTTTTCTTCAGGAAGTCTCCAGTCAGAGGAGAAAACATTTGGATAGGTCCTAATTATAGAAGGGAGACTAGAAAAGAATACATACACATATATGTATGTGTATATGTGTGTGTGTATATGTGTGTATGTGTGTGTGTGTGTGTGTGTGTGTGTGTGTATAATCCTTGCCCTTGGGTCTTCAATCTGATTGGAAGGATTTAAATGCCATCAAAAGCCAGGAATCATCTGGTTCTTTCTCCTGTTTCCTAATCCATAATCCTATCCCTAAGCCATACATAGGGCTAGGTTGTCTGCCTCATGATGAAAGCCTCCCAGGTCTCTCTTCACTGATCAGATCACTTTGGGGACACTTTCTGACCTTCTGTCTCTTTTTTCTTTGGTTCCCAGACAAGCGGACAGACAAGTCAGCCGTGTCTGGAGCCATCCGATTACATATCAGTGTGGAGATCAAGGGTGAGGAGAAGGTGGCACCATACCATGTCCAGTACACATGTCTCCATGAGGTGAGACCATCTCAGTGTCCTCATTCTCCCTCCAGGGTTTCTGGGCCCTGCCAGGTGTGCTTCAGGCCAATGCCACTGTCCTTGGACTGAAGTGCAGGTGGTCCTGTCCGCACGCCACCCTCTAAGTCTTATACCCCTCTCCTTAATCCCTGTGCCCCTTCCTGGTCTCAGTCCTGTCCCCTCTTATCAGTGATCTGATCTGTTTCCCCTCTTCCTCTTCAGAACCTGTTCCACTTTGTAACAGATGTGCAGAACAGTGGTGCAGTCCGGATCCCAGATGCAAAGGGTGATGATGCCTGGAAGGTCTATTATGATGAGACTGCCCAGGAAATTGTGGACGAATTTGCCATGCGCTATGGCGTTGAATCCATCTACCAAGCCATGACGTGAGACTAGCCATGGGGTAGAAGGGTGGGCTCTAGAAAGTGGGGGTAGGCAATAACTGCTTGGTATAGGAGTAGGTGGGAGGTGGGATGGATTCAAAACAGGAAGGAGAAGGGAGTTAGGCAGGCTGCTAGGATCAAACATCAGAGAGGATCAATTGGGAAACCTGGTATGATGAGAGTGGAGAAATGTGAGTCTGCATTAATCAGTCTTAAGTTCAGGATGGTATTGGGGAAGTGGTGGGTCACCAGTGGGGTTAAAGGTAGGAAGTCTGTTAGAAGACAGTTGGGCAGAACTTGAGTGGACAAGGATGTGGCCACGGGAAGGAGAACCAATCAGGAAAACATACTGGGAAGTGGAGGAGGGGAGGAAATAGCAAGTTTGGGATTTAGCAAAACAATGTCACTTAATGAGCAAGGAGAAAGAAGAACACAGAGAGATGGACAAAGAGAGACAGACAAAGGGAGGGGAAGAACAGATGAGACAGTGAGAAAGGCAGAGAGACAGACAAGCTGAGCAAGACAGAAATCGAGGAGGGAGATAGAGAGACTTTTTTAAAAAATCTGTTAAGTGGAAGTTATTTCTCAAGTCATAGGGAAAACTCCACATAATTTCAAAGATGTTTCAAAATGATTAGTTTTTATATTTTTGACACATTTCATTCTTTTTAAAATTTGATTTTATTATTTTTCTAACAGGCATTCATTCAAATGTCTCTCCCACTCCCCCACTGAACAATTTCTTAAAACCCTTATAACAAACATGCATAGTCAGAAAAACAAATTTTCCCGTTGGCCATGTCAAAAAAATGTATGTCTCATTCTGCATTTGAAAAAAGCATCCTTAATACTCAGAGACAGAAACAGAGACACAGATTCAAGAGAGGAGGAGAAACATATAGAGACTATGACAGAGAGAAACAGACAATATAAAATTAACAGAAAGGATACATAGAGAAAGACAGAAAACAAACTGATAAAGTGAGACAGGAAACGGAAGAAAGGAGGGGAGGGAAGGAAGGAAGGAGGAAGGAGGGAGGGAAGGAGGGAAGGAGGGAAGGGGGGAAGGAGGGAAGGGGGGAAGGAAGGAAGGAAGGAAGGAAGGAAGGAAGGAAGGAAGGAAGGAAGGAAGGAAGGAAGGAAGGAAGGAAGGGAGGGAGGGAGAGAGGAAGGAAAGAAGGGAAGGAGGGAGGAAGGAAAGAAGGGAAGGAGGGAGGAAGGAAAGAAGGAAATGAGGGACATATATTCCTCAGAGAAACCTTTTGTAGGGAGACATTTAAAATGACATAAAGCTATGGCTGAAGTCAAATCTGAATCCTCCTCATTGCAAGCCTTCCTGGAGGCAAGGAGGACAGGAGCTCAGTTCCCTGACTGGAGGGATGAGATGGCCCCTCTACAGAGCCCCCTGCTGACTTCTCTGCTTTGTCCCTCCCTTCCCCAGACACTTTGCCTGCCTCTCCTCTAAGTACATGTGCCCTGGAGTACCTGCTGTCATGAGCACCCTGTTAGCCAACATTAATGCCTACTACGCCCACACCACAGCCTCAACCAATGTCTCTGCTTCTGACCGATTTGCTGCCTCCAACTTTGGGGTCAGTACCCAGCCTCCTGGGCCTATTAGAGGGAGCCTCTTACCTCTGCCCTTTGCCCCATCCAACCAGATGGACACTCCCTGCCAGGACTGAAACAGAACTGGCCAAATTCCCTGTACTCCTTAATGACTGTGGGAAGAGATGCCAAATCAGTTTCTTACTATCCTGGAGTTCCCAGTAAAACTCTGCATTGAGATGTCAAGCCTAGAGACACCTGACCGTGCCCACAGCCCAGAGGAAACTGTTGAATGGTACAGGCTCCCTCTGGAAGAGCTTGTTCCTGAAGTCCTAGGTCCTCTGCCTTCTCAACTGGGCCTTTGAATTTCTGTCTTCAGTGCCCCTAGGTCTTACCAGGTCTGGATTCTGTCAAGATGGGGCAGTAGGTGACAAGACCACCATTCCTGTCTGGCAATTGCTACTGTTTCATGCAGGGTTGGTCTTGTCCTGCTGGGGAACACAAGGGTAAAGAGCCATCTCTGATCCTCTCCTTCCACCCATGGGTAGGTGAGGCTGTACCTGCTACCACGGTAGGATAATCACTGGCATCTCTAATCTTCCCCTTCTTCCCTGCCCCATGCCCATTGTCTCCTCAGAAAGAGCGCTTTGTGAAACTCCTGGACCAGCTGCACAACTCCCTAAGAATTGACTTGTCCATGTACCGGGTAAGAGACTCATGTGTGTGCACATGTATGTAAAGCACATGCTACAATATGCATGTACAACTACAAATCACAACACGTACACATGTTCATGAGGAAACACATAACCTATGATGTAGGTGTGAGCATATGGAGCAATATGCCCATATGTGCCTTAGTGCATACTCAGGGAAGATGGCACCAACACACAAGCACACATGAAAATAAACATACTACAACATCTGTACTTGCACATGCCATGGTACATAAGTCAACTTGTACACACACATACAGGCATATATCTTAATGTGGATGGAAGCTGTGGATTTCCATGTGGAAAACCTATATATATAGTTGCATACCCTTTTCCCTGCCTCCACCCCAGGCCTCTCTTTAGTTCTTGGTAGGGCCCTTCCCTGGACTTCCCTATGCTGTGGAGGTCCCATATCTTCATATCCCCTTCCCCAGACTCAGAAAAGTTCCCCTTTGCCATCCCTTATTCTCCTCCCAGACTCCTACAATCCTCAACTCCTTGGAATCATCTCATGAGAACCCCTGTGGTTGGGAAGGGTTTGGGGGGTTTCTGTGATCTCTGGTAATCCATGTTCCCTCCCCCTTCAGAACAACTTCCCAGCAAGCAGCCCAGAGAGGCTTCAGGATCTCAAGTCTACTGTGGACCTGCTCACCAGCATCACCTTCTTCCGGATGAAGGTAACAGAGAGGTCCTGCCTGGGGTGTGGTTAGCAGTCTCCTGGAATCTCCCAGGGACTCCTGGCTACTAGGTTATTATCATTATTATTATTATTATTATTGTTGTTGTTGTTATATTTTTTTGCCTAGGGAGTAGCACCATGCCTCTCCACCGGAACATACCATACCACATCATCATGTGCCTATACCTCAGAACTGTGTTTCTTTCCCAATGACCTGGTTTCCACTAGACAATTGGCTCTCTCCTCTGGCATCACCCCTTTGAAACTAGAATCTATTGGCCAGTCAGGCTTTATTTCACACCTGTATCCCCTCCTACTGTTCCAACTTCAGCTTCTGAGATGAGGACAGATCATTTTCTAGCCTTGCCCACCTAGACGTATCTCTCACATAGGTCCAGGAGCTACAGAGCCCACCTCGTGCCAGCCAAGTGGTAAAAGACTGTGTGAAGGCCTGCCTCAATTCCACCTATGAGTACATCTTTAACAACTGCCATGAACTCTATAGTCGAGAATACCAGACTGACCCGGTAAGGAAGTGAGATGAGGAGGTGCTCCATGGGAAAGGGTGGCTAAGGATAGACCACGGTTCTTGTAAGATTAACCCTTAACAGAGACTAGAAATTGTATAAGCCAAATGCAGTTGGGTTAAGTTGGGTTAAATTGCACTGGATAAGTATGAATTGAGTTGAATTGAATTGAGTTGGGTTGAAGTGTGCTGAGTCATTTGAGGTCATATTTGTCTGGGTTGAACAGGCTAGGTTCCACTGAGTTAGGTTAGATTGATCCATATTTGATTCAATTGAATTGTGTTCAGTTATATTGGATTAGGTTGAGTTGACTTGGGTTTAATTGCGCTGGGTTGGGTTGAGTTCAATTAGTTTAGATTTAGTTGGATTGGAGTTAAAAAGTTGAACTGAGCTGAGTCCATTTTGGTTGAGTTGGGTTATGTTAATTTATATTAGGCTGGATTGATCTGAGTTGAATTGGGTTGGGTTGAGTTGGGTTTAGTTAGGTTGAACTGGACTGGAGTTGGGCTGAGTTGGATTGGTTTAAATTGGGGAGGGTTTGGTAGATTCGAGTTAGCCTGGGTTGGGTTGAGTTGAGTTATGTTGAACTGGGCTGGATCAGGTTGAATTGGATTGCATCATGTTAAGTTGGGTTGGTTAGTTTAAACTGGTCTTGGCTGAGTTGAATTGAGTTGAGTTGAGCTGAATTAAGCTAACACAGGCTGGGTTAGGTTGAGTTGAATCAGACTGGCATAAGTTGAGTTGTGTGGGTTAAGTGGGCTTATTTGAGTATAGTTAAGTTCAGTTAAGTGAACAAAATTCAATACAGCAAATACTTATCAAATGCCTACTGTGTAAAAGGCACTATGCTAGGCACTTGGGATATGTATAGGAAGCAAGATTATCACTACCCTTAGTAGCTTATATTTTGCTGGAGGGTGTGACAGATGAACATATAAATAAATATAAGCTCATTTGAAAAGGAAGAGAGTATTAACAGTTGAGGAATTGGGGGAAGGCTTCATGAAATGAGGGGTGCCTGAGCCAAACTTTTAAGGAAGATAAGGATTCTACAAGGGGGAGATGAGGATGGAGTACATTTATAGACATGGAGGTCTATTGACACAAATGTACAGTTGTAGGAGATGGAAAACCGCATCTGAGGAACACCTAGTGAGACAGGCTAGAAAATAAGATATATGAAGAGAAATAATGTGAAATAAGGCAGGAATAGGAGAAAGTCTGATTTTGTGGATAATTAAACACTGGGATGAAGAATCTGTATTTTGTCCTAGAGGCAACAGGGAAATATTGAGTGTACTTGAGAAGCAGAGTGACACAGTTAGCTCTGTGATCCAGGAAGATTATTTTCGTAGCAGCATACTGGATTGGAGAAGGCTGAGCCTGGAAGGGAGATTAATTAGGAGACAATTGCAATGATGAGGGAGATGATGAGAACCTGAGTTAGGATGGTGGTCTTGGAAGTAGAAAGAAGAGAATGGATATGAATGTGACAGGTGCTGTGGAGGTAGAAAAAACAAATCTGATTGGGTATGGAGAGTGAAGGAAAGGAAAGAGTGGAGATGACTGAAATTATAACCCTAGGTGACTGGAAAATGGTAGTGCACTTGGTAAATAAGTCTGGAGAAAAAATGGATTAACTTTAGGGAGTTCATTTCAGTATGATTCAATTAAATTCCATTGATTTCAATTCAGTTGAGTGAATTTAGCTGAGTTGCTTTCAGTTGAGTTGGGACGAGTTCAGGCCCAATCCAAATCTAGCAAGCATCTATTAAGCACCTGTGCTAAACTGGTGACACAAAGACAAGTTGAAAGATTATCCCCACTCTTCAGGAGTTTCCATTCTATTTCTCTTATGATATGTAAGCAGATAAGCTTATACATGAAAAATTGAGTAAGAGAGAGCAGCAGAAATCGGGGCGGGGAGGGGCGGTACGGAAAGGCTTCCCTTAGGAAGTATCACTTGAGCGGAGCCTTGAGTGAACCTCAACCAGAAGTAGAGGTGAGGAAAAAGTGCTTTCCAGCCTTGCAAAAGTGAGTAGGCAGGAGATGGAATGCTAAGCTTAAGAAACATCAAATAGGCCAGTTTGGTTGGAAAATAGTTTGTGAAGAGGTAATGGCCACTAAACCTGGAAAGGTAGCTGGGAACCAAAATGTGAAGGCCTTTAAATAGCATCCCAAGGAGTTGGGATTTTTATTTTGTGGTAATAGGGAGCCAGTAAAGATTTTAGAGCAGGGAAGTGACATAGGATTGTACTTTAGGAAGATTATCTTGATAATTATGTGGAGGATGGCTTGGAGACAGGAGAGATTACAAGCCTGGACTCCATTTAGGAGACTGTTTTAATAATCCAGGCAAGAGGTGATGAGGGCCTGAACAAGAGTGGTGGTTATCTGAGTGGGGAGAAGCTAGATTTTCCTTCTATAGCAAAGATCAAGGATAATGCTAAGGTTACAAACCTGAGTAACTGCAAAAGGGTAGTGCCCTCAACAGAAATGGAAATGTTTGGAGGCAGGGTGAGTCGAGGGTGAAAGATAATGAGTTCGGTTTTGGAGGGGTTGAGTTGGAGATGTCTGTGGGGCATCTAGGCAGTTGGTGAGATAGCACTGGAGGTCAGGAAAGAGACTCAGAGCAGATGTACAGATATGGAAGTTATCTGCATAGAAATTATAACTGACCCCATTAAAAGTGGTGAGATCACCAAGAGAGAAGGGATAGAGAGAGGAAAGAAGAGGACCTAAGACAATAGTGTCCCACAGATATACAGGGGTGATATGGATATCACATCCCTTCCTGTTCCAATTCCTCTTCAAGAAGCCTTAAGAAAGATGAAGGAGGGGCAGCTAGGCAGCACAGTGGATAGAGCACTGGCCCTGAAGTCAGGAGGACCTAAGTTCAAATCTGGCCTCAGACACATAACACTCACTAGTTGTGTGACTCTGGGCAAGTCACTTAACCCCAATTGCCTCACAAAAAAAAAAAGATGAAGGGATTCTCTATATTATATGGAGGAATGGACTCTGTAGTTGCAGGGAATGGGGTTCAGGAGCAAAGAATTAGTTGGAATATGACCTCTGGAACCACCCAAACATCACATCTGAATTCCCTACTTTCTCAAAATAATGAAGCATCTTCCTCACCTTCCCCGTCAGCCTACAAAATAAGCAGATCCAGATGAATTGTCCTCATGATAGACATCAACATTGACCTTTTCAGGCTAAGAAGGGTGAGGTGCCTCCAGAGGAGCAGGGACCCAGCATCAAGAACCTAGACTTTTGGTCCAAGCTCATCACACTCATCGTGTCTATCATTGAGGAAGACAAAAACTCCTATACACCCTGCCTCAACCAGTGAGTGGAGGAAGGGGAAAAGATGAATGTGGGTGTGGGCAAACTTTGCAAATGTGTGTCATTGGGTGAATGTGTATGGCAAAGGGTATTTAGAAAGGGAGAGGCAGAAGGGGGAAAGGGAGAGAGGAAGAAAGAAGAGACAGAAAATGCGGCTAACTGAATTGCGTGTGTATACATACATATATGCATGTATGTGTGTGTATGTTCAGTTGTGTTTTTTAGTCATGTCTGACTCTTGTGACCCCATTTGGGGCTTTCTTGGCAAAGATGCTAGAGTGATTTGCCATTTCCTTTTCCAGATATATACATATACATGTATTGTGTGTATATATAAATTTATACATAGTATATATGTGTGCTTGTGTCTATGTGGGTAATGACTCATATGCATAACTTTGCATATGTGAATAATCATATATGGGTGCTTATTTGTAGGGAATTGTGTGTATGAGTATTATGTGTGTGTGTGTGTGTGTGCGCGCGCGCACGCGCGTGCGTGTCTGTGCAAGGTGCAACTGTATACATTTAGGTAGCTATATGTATTATCAAATCAACATTTATTAAATGCCTTTTATGTACCAAGTACTATGCTAAGTGCTGGGTATGTGTGGAATTGTGCATGTGGGAAGCTGTTTAGTTATATGCATGAGTGTAGCTCTGTGTATGAGATCCACCCTATCCTCAGGACTTTGAGTGGAGGAAACTGAAATTTATGGTGAAAATGAGCATTTAGTGTGAGTAAAAATGGGATCAGGCTGACCAATATTGGGAAATCAGCAAATCAAAAGGAAATGAGCATACACTCACTTTCCCAGAGGAGAGATTGTTGCCAGGTATAGGCTGGGGGCCCAGGAAAGGGGAGGCAGCTAAGACAGGAAAGAGGGGGTAAAGATGCTAGACTCTGAGAAACAACAGGGTCCTAAGTCTAGGAATTCAGAGTCAGAAAGAATAGTGCTAAAGAACAGGGGCGACCTTCAATCCTAGGAAGGGGGGGGGCTCTCAGCTGTGTTCTTATTCTGCCTATTGGGTGTGAGTGGCTCTGGGCTCAGAGGTGATCATTACAGCCTGAAGGAGGTCAGAGTACTGTGGAAGAACCATAAACCACAGGACCATAGACGTAGAGGTGGAAGCAATCTTAGTTCAAATCCGCCCTCAGACGCCCTCATTTTACATATGAAGGAACTCAGCCAGGAACCTCAAACAACTTGCCCAACATCTCACAGATAGTAAATAGTAGAGACAGAATTGGCATCTACATCCCCTGGCTCCAAATCCGATCCTCTTTCTGAGGTGACCCCAATGAGACAGACAGAGACTCAGAGAGAGACAGAGACCCAGAGAGAGAGAGAGAGAAAGAGAGAGAGAGAGAGAGAGAGAGAGAGAGAGAGAGAGAGAGAGAGAGAGAAAGTCCAAGTGTGTTCTGTCTATGGAGAGAGGATGGAGAAAAGAGGAAAGAGGGAGAAAGCCAGGGGCAGCAGAGGGAGCCCCCTGGTGGCCAGCTCCCTCATCTCAGCCTTTTCCTCCTGTCTCCTTCCCCTCCCTTCCTCCTTCCTTCCACACTCTTTGGCAAAAGGTTTCCCCAAGAACTGAACGTGGGCAAGATCAGTGCGGAGGTGATGTGGAACTTGTTTGCTCAGGACATGAAGTATGCCATGGAGGGTGAGGAACCTGTCCCCAGAGCCTCTGTCCCCCTGGGTGGCTTGTTTGCCCCCCAACCCTTTGCCTGGACTGCCAGGGGACAACAGAGTGCTTCCTTTGTACAAGACCTGTGAGCTGTAAGCGAGACCTGCTTCCTTCCAGTCCCCGCTTCTGAGGCCTGGAGAATTCCCGGCTTCTAAGAAAGTAGAGTACTTAGAGAGGAATCTTAGAGATCTCCTGGTCCAGTCCCCTAGAATTACAGAGAGTAACAATAACAACAGCTAATATTTATATAGGGCTTTGGTGTTACAAGAATAACAACAATGAAAGCTAGCATTTATATAGGGCTTTAGGTTGGGAAAACACTTTCCATACATTGTCTCATTCCACTTTACATGTTATCTTATTTGATCCTCTCAGTAACCCTATGAGGCAGGTGCCCTTATTATCCTCATTTTACTGATGAAGACATTGAGGCCCAGAGAAGGAAAGAGTCTTGCCCAAAGTCACACAGCTAGTAAGTGGCAGAGTTGAGTCTTGGGTCGAAGTGAGGATTCAACACAGATCCTCTGACTCCAGATCCAGTCTTGCCTGGGGTTGAGGCTCAGCCATGGGCTGGGGGAAGAAGACAGGACAGGCCTTTTCTCTGAGCCGTCCTGCTTCCTATCTCTGTACCTTGCTCCTCTTCCCAGAGCATGACAAACACCGATTGTGCAAAAGTGCCGACTACATGAACTTGCACTTCAAAGTCAAATGGTTGTACAATGAGTACGTGACCGAGCTGCCCTCCTTCAAGGACCGTGTGCCTGAGTACCCTGCGTAAGTCATGTTGCTCCCCTCTCCTAAGCTGGGCTGTGTGGGAGAAAGGGAGAGAGGAAGACAGTGGATTACCTACCATTCCCTGACCTGGGATAGGTGCTGCAGAGGAAGCTATGGTGGGGAGGGGGTCATTGTCCTGGCATGGATGCATTGGGAGATTATGGGAGGTGGGGACTGAGAGTAACTAGGCAGACATCTCCCATTGCAGGTGGTTTGAGCCCTTTGTTATCCAGTGGCTGGATGAGAACGAGGAGGTGTCCCGGGACTTCCTCCATGGAGCTTTGGAGCGTGACAAGAAGGATGGGGTGAGGCAGAGAGCCCCGGCAGGTGGGGAGTGAGAAGGAAGGTGTGGCTCCCCAAGCTTCCCTGACCCACCCCAAAGCCTAGCCTGGTGTTTATGAACCCATCAGAGTATCTAACCCAGCCCTTTTCTCCCACCCCAGTCTTGGACTAGCCCTGGAGCTGATTAGTCTTAACTCAGACATTTATCTCAGATGAGTTTGGTGGAAAGATGATATCCCCACCCAGGACGAAGTCAGACCCCAGACTTCCAGTTTCCTTGAGTGAGCATCAAAGACTCACTATTCTAGGATATTCCAAGGAAGCTCTTCTCCAAGTCCAGGTTCCTCTGGAGGCCCCTATTCTGTCACTCCGCAGACCTAGAATAGGGCTTCAAACATCTTCTTAGGCTCCAGGAGCCCAACCATGGTCTAAAGGACACAAGCCTGCATTCCCTTAAGGCTTAAGACTGGGGTAGAGTGGCGAGCAGTCTCACAATGTGGAAAGTGAAGGTCCTACATTCACCCCACTTCCTGTATACACTTCCTCAGTGTTCACTTGTGCCAGGTAGCTTCTATGCCCACTGATACAACCTTCTTCTTCATTCCTTGGCCCTCTACAGTTCCAGCAGACTTCTGAGCACGCCCTATTCTCCTGCTCCGTGGTGGATGTCTTCTCCCAGCTCAACCAGAGCTTCGAGATCATCAAGAAACTTGAATGTCCTGACCCCCAGATTGTAGGCCATTACATGCGCCGATTTGCCAAGGTACTGGGGTCAGATGGGGTGGGGGTAAATTAGCCACTAGGAGTCAGAGCCACTAGGAAAGGATTCAGCCTGCACTCACATTTTTATAGACATTAGAAAATATATCTAGGTGAGATCTTTCAGGTGGGAAGAACTTACACCAAGAGAAATCCCTATATGATGAGTTTTCTGGACAACAGGAAACTGGATTGATAGAGAAGGAAAAGAAATAGGCATTCCAGGAGGAGGGCATGTCCTGAGCAAAAGTGTGGAAGCAGGAATTTGCTTGACTATGAAGGATAGGAGTGGGAGGGGAGGGAAATAGTGACTAGAAGGACCTGACTGGAGTGGACAAGGCAGCCATGTGTTTCAGGCCAGATCGTTTGGCAATGAAGGTATCAACTAAATATAACCATCTACCCCGTTTCCTATCTGAGCCAAGGTCATCCATGGTCAGTGTGACCACGGGCAAGTAACTTCCCCCTCTGAAAATAATTTTCCTCATCAGTAAAACAAAGGGATGAAACTAAGTGATTTTTTGGGAATCTTCCAGCTCTAAATCTTACAATCCTAAAATGAAATGACATTTGGGAACTATGTCGGAAAAACCTTATAATGCTGTGTAAATGTAAAGATTATCATTACCTAGCTTGAATCTTTCTGGAAGTATTTTGAGAACCATTGAACTTTAGTTTAAATGTGTTTCCTGAATCTTCTTCCCTGGGTTTTCAGAGCCCTCAATGGATTGACCATCCAACTAAATGGCTTTTTATCATGGAATCATAAGGGAACTTCAGGGATTAGCGAGGTTAAGCAGGGATCCCCTCACTACATACTTGGGGAATGATAACTGAGCCTGCAATTGAAAACTTCCAGTGACACTACTTCTCAAGGCAGATCTTTCCATTTCTGGGTGGTTCTAATTGTTATAAAATCTTTCCACATATCAAGCCTAAATCTTCAACTTTCTCCCATTGCTCCTATTCGGCCATTGCTAGGACCAAGTGGAATAAGTTTGATCTCTCTTCGATTTGAGAGGCCTTCAATCACTGAAAAGAACTATTATGCCCCTCCCTCCCCCCAGACTTTTCTTCTCCAGACTAAACACCCCCAGTTCCTTCAATTGAATCTTCTATGACAAAATTTCCAATGCCCTTGCCACCCTGGTCACCCTCCTCTAAATGCTCTCCAATTTGTCAATGTCTTTCCTATGATATGCTGCTCAGAAATGAGGACATATATGGACTGACCTGAGCAGAAAACAGAAGGACTCTCATCTGCCTTGTCCAGGACTTGTCCAGGACAGAATACTTCTGTTAACACAACCAAAGAAGGCATTAGCTTTTGGAGGCTTCCATATCATGCTGTTAACTCTTACTGAGTTTGGAGTCTTTTTCACATCAATTGTCCATGTTTCTCCATCCTATACTTGTGCCACTGATTTTTTTTTAACATAAGAGAGAGACTTTACATTTACCCTTGTTTAATTTCATCTTATTAGATTTGACTCAACATTCTAACCTTTCCAGATCTTTTGGGATCCTGATTCTTAATATGCAACATGTTCGCTAATCCTACCAGCTTGTGTCATCTGTAAATGAGAATTCTATACGTACCTTCATCCAAGTCTTTGAAAAAAAATAAACAAAATAGAGATGGAGATAGAACTCTGTTCTCTCCAACAGTAAACTCCCACAAGATTGATATTGAACTATTAATTGCCTCTCTGAGTCTAGTCATTCAAACAGCTGTGAAATCAGCTATTACAATCTGGTCAATATGTCTCCATTTTGTCTACAAGGATACTATGAGACAGATTTCATGAATTCCTTGTTGAATGAAATCCGGTTATGTTGTGACTAAAGCATTTTCTTGACCTACCAATCTAGTAACCCTGCAAAAAAAAGGAAATTATGTTAGACTGGAAAGATTTATTCTTGCTAAATCCATGCTGGAATGTTGTGATTGCTACTTCCCTTTGTAAGTGCTCACAGACTGATTCTTTATTAATCTACTGGAGACTTTTGCCATGGATTGACATCAGGTTCACCAGCCTGTAGTCTGAAAAGCTATAGTTTTTCTCCCTTTTGAAAATCCACACAGTGTTCGCCTGTCTCTCTTCCTGAGACACACCTCATTCACTGCCAGACCACCAAACCCTCACAGATATATCTCAGTACCCTGGAACGTGGTCTGTCCAGGCCTGGTGATGTGATTTCATTGTGAACATCAAGGGACTTTCTTTCAAGCTCCTCATTTCCTGTTAGCCATTTTTGCTTCTATCGTGCTGAAGGTTGGGTAGTTCTGCCTTCTTTTTGTCCTGGTCTCATCTACTCCAAATCCAGCTCTGTTATGATTTCCCTTTGGGACGCTGGGCTGGATGACCGGTAATCAGGGGTGCTATCTATAGAGTGGACTCCTGTTCAAGTATAGATCAGACTGAGTTGTCTCTGAGGTCTTTCCCAACTCTGAGGTTCCATGATTACAGATGTGCATTCCATCCCTGCCCAAGAGATCATCATTCCTATAGCTGAAGTCACAATGCAGAGACCCAAATCCTATTCTCTGACATCATCTTCTCAGCCCACTGCTCATTTCCCAAATCCTATTTTCTCTTCTGAAGCCTCTACCTTTACTAGACAGCAGGAAGGAAAACACCACCTAGGCACCTAAGATCTTTAGCTTCCTGCCCAGCTGTTCATAACCCTAAAGATGATTCTTAGTTTCTTTATGGTGGTATCATCTGTCAGCCCATAAGTCACAAGAAGGTAATAGTGATTGTTGAGTTGTCTTGTCCTGGATTCCTGTCCCCAGGAAAACAGAAGAATTCCCAGTTGGTGATATCAGGTCAACACATAGCAGCTGCCACATCCCTCAGCAGCAAATCACAAACCAACAGGGTACATCTCTTTATCCTGCGTCCAATAATGGAAATCTTCATGATTAGTATCCTCATGGATGTGGGTTCTTTAGGGAACAGGGATTTAATTCTCTCTTCAGTTTTATTAGACATCATGAGCTATAATGAGCTCAGCTCCTGATAAACTATGGCTGCTTGGGCAACTAGGCGGTGCGGTGGACAGAGTGCTGAACCCGAGTCTTCCAGGCTCAAGATCTTTGGCTGTGTGAATGAGGCACATCACTTAACTGTTCTCTTCCTCAGTTTCTTCATCTGTAAAATGGGGATAATAAAAGCACCTACCTTGCAGTGTTGCTATGAGGATCAACTGCGATGTCTGAAAAGCGCTTTGCAAACCCGGAAGCCAAACAGAGATGCTAGCTGCCAACCACTAGTCTTATTGTTGTTTATCATTGTGAGGAGTTGGTTCATGGCCCTGTCCCACGACCACTGGCAGAGCCACGTGGTCCTCATCCTTTGTGTGCTGTCTTGTCTCTATGCTTCCCCCGCAGACAATCAGCAACGTCCTGTTGCAGTATGCTGAGATCATCTCCAAGGACTTCACCACCTACTGCTCTAAGGAGAAGGAAAAAGTGGTAACGTGTGCTCCCCTCCCCCTCCGGCTCCTGGGGCCCTCCTTGCCCACTCCTACTACATCACCCCCTATTTGGGTCACACAAACCTGAACACATTGTGTGTGTGTGTGTGTGTGTGTGTGTTCACATGTGGTAATGACCGTGGGTATTTGAAGATATATGAAACAGCATTGGAAACACCACCAGATTTGAAGTTAAAAGACCTAGGCTTAAGCCTTTGCTCTGTTAGGACAATACCTTATGACCCTGGGCAGGGCATTTTTCGCCTTTGGGTCTTAGTTTTCTCATATTATAGGGGAATTGGATTAAATGATCTCTAAGATGCCTTCCAACTTTAATTTCTATGAGTCTGTGTAAGAGGCAGAGAGAGAGACAGACAGGGAGAGAGACAGAGAGGGAGAGAGGGGAAAAGGAGGGGGAGGGGGAGGGAGGGAGGAGGAGAAGCAGATGGCAGAGAAGTATCAGAAGGAAGAAGAGCTGAGTCTGAGGGTGTGTGTCTATGGGGGTCTATCTATACAGAGTGTTTTAAGACTACAACCTAACTAATATTAAAAATTTAGACCATCCATTAGACTACCATTTAGATAGGTATAGAGGCTAGAACTGTGATTTCCTTGGTATAGGGAACTCCCTAGAGAGGAACTCCCTCTTCCAATGAAAGTTAGCTGTGTCTTGGTAACGTATTTCTTAGAATTGCCTTGTGTCTTAAGAGGTCAAGTAGGGGCAGCTTGGTGGCACAGTGGATAGAGCACTGGCCCTGAAGTCAAGAGGACCTGACTTCAAATCCAGCCTCAGACCAAACACTTGACACTTACTAGCTGTGTGACCCTGGGCAAGTCACTTAACCCCAATTGCCTAAAAAAAATAAAGAGGTCAAATGACTTGCCTAGGGCCACAGACCTAGTATGTGTTACCAGGCAGGATTTAAACCCAGGTCTTCCTGACTCCAAGGCTGGCCCCTCTATAAGCTATGTTGCATTGACCAGTCCAGCTGCAATGTGGTTCCCAAGTGCATCCTTTCTCCAATCTTTCACAATCTTTATGTATGGCCTTCCTGCCTCTTACCTCAGACCTGCTCCATAGACAGATAAATATAGATTAAGGTAGACAGATCTAGATGATATAGATATCTATATAGAGATAGATACATATGTACATATACACATACATGTATGCACAATATACATGCATGTGCATATACAACATGTGAGCATGTTCTTCTTTGGCCATACCCCAGAACTGTTACTAGCAGGCTGTATGCAGAGAATGGGGTACCGAAGAGTGCACTTCAGCCTCTCAGAGGGTATGTACTCCGCCTTTACTGGACAAGCATTCAGAGATTTGGAATTAACTTTCGAGCAAAGATGTATTCTATTTCTTTGAAGAAAAGTGTGATGAAACCAGCTCAGAATGCTATCTTACCTTGACCCACTCCTCTTGAAGGAGCAGTATCTTAAAACTGGTGGAGAGGGGAAGAGAGGAAGAGCTTTTCTAAAGAGGCAATATTTAGACCCATATCACTTCTTGTCCACATTTACTTCAATCATACCAGACATTCAATTCAACCCCTTGGATGTAGTATTTGTGTATGTGTGTCTGTCTGTCTGTCTGTCTGCAGGTGCATTTTTATGTCTAAGGGTAGATGGGTGTGTACAGAACATATAACTGATGTGACCAGATGTGCCTGTGGGTGACTTCCCTTTCTCCTACACCCAGTTGCCTCATCTGCCTACAGTCTCCATCACCTCCCTCCCTCCCTTTCCCTTACTTTGCCCCCAAAGTCCTTGCTCTATTCCTTTCCCTCAGGACCCGGCTCACTTGGCCACTGTCCTCAGTCCCTCCCATACACTAGGGCCATAACTTACACTTCCTTACCAGAAGGGAGTATGACTGTTACTCTATCTTCTTATCTCTGACTCAACTTTTGAGGAATCCTAGAGACCCCAAAGTCCACCTTTAGTTTCCAGACATGCTGCTAAATCCCAGTGTGATGCTGGGCATATCATCATCCTCTGTCTAGGTCTTTGATTCCCATCTCTGCCTAAGGACTCTGAAGTTACCGCAGCCCCTTCCCTGTTGCCTGGGGTGGAAGGTGGGGGCAGGGGTGCTGATCAGGGGTCTCTCATGACCTGTGCTTGCAAGAAGAGCCCCAGGGTATGGATTCTGACCCTCTGGTATCTCCTGCCTCACCCCACAGCCATGCATCCTCATGAACAATACACAGCAACTTCGGGTGCAACTGGAGAAGATGTTTGAGGCCATGGGTGGGAAGGAGGTAAGACTTGACTGGAGGGACATGGGAAGAGCAGGGGCCCCAGATGTGCTCTCTCTGATCCAGCATGTCCTCAATGATCTCTTCTGTTCTCTCTGACTTGCATCACCTCGGACCTATGACCACTTAGACTCCTTCGTCCCCTCTTACCCAGAACTAGGTTGTCCAGCAAGCTCCCTAGGCAAGTGCCCAAGATCAGTGGAAACAAAACTCTTAGCCTGGGTCCCTCCTCTTCTTTTTCTGAATCAAGGGCCCTGAGGTAGATGGGTGAGAGGCAGAGTCCTGGCTTCCTCCTCCACCTTTACTCCAGACTCACTCAACTTCATTTACCTTGAACACTAAGGAAGAGATGACTGACCAGGAGGGCTCATGGGATGGGATCAAGAAAGGAATACAGACCTTCCATGGTATTCACAGGGGCCAGAACTGGGAGGAACTTGAAGATAAATAGACAGGAAAGTCTCCTTTTCCTTGTTCCCTGTAAGAGTTGCCTGGATGAAAGCATTGATGATGGATTTACCAAATTTGCAGAGTGCACAAAGTTCAACGTCAAGGGCAACACCTTAGCTGTCAGGCTTAGGATCCATCAAACCCTTTGCATTTTATACCAATTTCAATAAGGTGAAATTAGAGACAAATATAAAACTCAACACTTAGCTTCAATCATTTTCACGTGTGTATGTGTGTGTGTGTGTGTATATGTGTGTTGTGCAGGGGAGGGAAAGGGACATGAGTGGATGAACGGTAATATCTGAAGATGACCTATGGCTCTTACTAAACTGAAAGTTGAACAGGAGTCATCTGTGTGATGTGGCCACCAAAAAATGCTAGCAGGATCTCAGGGTGCACTAAGAGAGGCCTGGTGTACGCATGCCAGCTGATGGACTCTTCGGACGTCTCAAAAGTCCAGACCACAATGAAGTCCTCCCGCTGCCCCCTTCCCTGGTCAGGGAACATCTGGAGCCCTGGGTTCAGTTGTAGGTATTAGGTTTTCGGAAAGCCACTGACAACCTAGAGTATGTCCAAAGGAAGGTAATCAAAATGGCGAGGGGACTGCAGACCACGCTAACTATAAGCAAGTGAAGGAAAGTGGGTATTTTCCTGGGGGGATGTGGACCTCCTTCAAGTATGTAAAGGGCTCTTTTATGGAAGAGGAATCAGACTTGGCCTCCCTGAAGGTGAGGCGAGGGACAACGTGGGGAAGTTGTAGGAAGGTCGATTTCAGCATCAATCCAATTCAACAAGTATCTATTATGTGCCAGGCACCAGTAATACAAAGACAAAAATGAAACAGTCCCTGTCCTCAATAAAGATATATTTTACTAAAAAGCGGGGGGGGGGGGAATTGTAAAGGAAAACCTCTCCAACAGCTAGAGCTACATACATGTGGAAAAGGCAGGCTCCAGCGTTAGGGAGGTTTTCAAGTAGAGACTGGATGACACTCTTCAGGGATGTTAGAAGGGATTCCTTCTCTGATTGGGCTCTAGGGCCTTAGAGATTCTATGATCTTCTGGGCCTCTGGTCAAAGGGCGTTGTCAGTCTGGCCAGTTAGATCAGTTGAGGGAGGTGGTGCCTACTGACCCCAGAAGGACTGAACCTCCAACTATTCTGACTCTTCCTTGCCCCTCTGAGTGCATGGGTCCACTCTGACCACAGTCTCCACCGTTCCCTGTCCCCAGCTGGATGCTGAAGCCAGTGACATCCTGAAGGAGCTTCAGGTGAAACTCAATAATGTGCTAGATGAGCTCAGTCGACTCTTTGCCACCAGGTGTGTGAGTATTTGTGTAGGTATGCCTGTGCACAGTGAGGGGAGAACGGAGGGAAGGGGAGAACTAGGCCTCTGGACTCCTGGACCTCAGCCATCAGAGGACTCTGGGAAGAGGCCCCAGGAGTAATAGGGCCAGGTTTGAGGTGGGGGTGTGTATGTGGTGGGGGGAGGGAAGTGTCTGCATGGAAGAATTTCAATCCCAAAACTACAGCCCTGACCTCATCACTCCATCCCTCTATCCCCTCAATCATTCCATCCCTATGTCTCCCTGACCCAATCACTCTGCTTCCTTTCCTCATTCCTCTGCCCCAGGCACTCCACACCCTCACCTGACCCCTTCTTTGCCTCTGCCCCCATCCCAAACCTCCCTGTTCTGGGGGATCAGGGCTGCCCTTCAGGGAGCCCCAGGCTGATGACTAGCCCTATGCCCCTAGCTTCCAGCCACACATAGAAGAGTGTGTCAAGCAGATGGGGGACATCCTGAGTCAAGTGAAGGGCACAGGAAATGTGCCAGCCAGTGCCTGCAGCAGCGTGGCCCAGGATGCTGATAATGTCCTGCAGCCCATCATGGACTTGTTGGACAGCAAGTGAGTCCCCACGCTCAGGGCCCAGAGCAAGGAGGGAAGGGATCACGTAGAGCCAGGAGAATGGGCTTGGAGGGAGGATCATTGGGAAGGAGGGCTTAGTGAGCGTGATGAGAACCGCAGAATCTTATTATGATAGATTCCTCGTCTATGCAGGTAGGTGGTGCAGTCGACAGAGCACCAGACCTACTGCCAGGAAGACCTGAGTTCAAATCTAGCCTGAACACACTTACTAGCAGTGTGTGACCCTAGCAAGTCACTTAACCCTGTTTGCCTCAGTTTCTCATCTGCAAAACGAGCTGGATAAGGAAATAACAAACCACTCTACTATCTGTGCCAAGAAAACCCCAAATGAGATCATGAAGAGTCAGACATGCCTGAAATGATGGAACAGCAACATTATCGCAGAAGCTTAGAATCATGATTTTCGACTCTTAGACTCACAATCACAACTCACACTTTAAGGCATACCGAGCACTTATCTGCATATCAACTCTTTGATGTAGGCGGTACAAATATCATTACTCCCGCTTTAATGACGAGGCTCAGAGAGAGGGAAATGACTTTTCAAGAGTCAGCCAGCTGTCAGGATTTGAACTAAGGTCTCACCCAACTCCAACACCCTACTAGTACCTTTTCATTTGAATTTCATGGGATCATAATACTTAGAGCTATAAGGAACCTTGTAGATCTTCTAGTCTAATCCCCTTGTTTTACAGATGAGGAAGCTGAGGCCCAGAGAAGGGAAGGGATTTGCCTAAGGTTATACAGGTACTAAGTAGCAGAATCAGAATCTGAACCCAAGACTTCTGACTCAAATTTTAGTACTCTTTCCAGGATACCATCAATAGAATCCTAGAATCTTAGACACTTAAAATTCTAGAATCTTAGCTTAATAGAATTCTAGAACTTTTGTCTCATAGACTGCTAGAATCTTAGACTAATACTTTCTTAGATTGTTAGAAACTTAGACTCGCAGACTCTTGAAATTCCAGAGTGCTACAATTTCGGAGTTTACTATAAGAGATTTTAGAGATGACCAGCTCCATATTTCCACCCAGCCCAGAAATCACTTGTTGGCTGAACTATAGTCAGAGCCTGGGGTTTGCAGGAGCCAAGTAAAGGGAAGGAAGGCTGGCAGTAGTGAGAGGGGTGGCTTTTTTGGGGTGGGGGGAGGAAGAGATGGAACCAGGGTTGCAAACTAGAGGGGAAGCATGATATGCCTGGAGACATGGTGGTCACCTGGGAACAGTGACAAGGGAAGCCTATACTTGGAATCCTCTCCAGCCTATCAGACGTGAGCTCCCCTTCCCCATAGCTAGAAGGCATCAGGAAGGACCTGTGCCACCTCTCTCTCTCCTCTACCTGCTGTGCTTTCTGAAGTGGGAAAGGGGAGAAGGTCTGAGACATGGGCGAGGTCCCTGCCAACCCATGGATGCCAGCCCAACTCCTCTAACCACTCCCTACCCCTAGCCTGACCCTCTTTGCCAAAATTTGTGAGAAGACGGTGCTGAAGCGAGTATTGAAAGAGCTCTGGAAGCTGGTGATGAACACAATGGAAAAGACGATAGTCCTGCCGCCCCTCACAGACCAGACGGTAAGTCTCAGCTGCGGGGTGCCACCACCCACCTGTGTTCTGCCTCTGCCTCTGACCAGGCAGGCCCCAAGAATTCAAAGTTGGGGCCTACTGAGTCACAAGCAGAACCCATGGACAGGTCAGAGAACAGAGACATCCAGGAACCAAGAGGTTAAGTGGAGACATGGGTTTGGGTCAGGGGTCAGAGGCATTATTAGAGAGTAAAAAGATCTGAGGACAGAAATCAGAGATGTCCTAGAGCAGAGACAGGAGAGAGGTCTGGAAACAGAAAGGTCAGAAGTCCCTTCATTTTCTTCCATCTCCAAGAAAAGGTTCATTCCTCCAAAAGGACACTTCCAAGATAGCTAGGGCAGGACCAGCGCCCAAGGGTAGGTAGGAGAGACTAGCCTAAGAGACTGCAGCCTTCACCTCCCTCCATCAGCCACGAGTTTGGGGCTGTAAGGAGGCCATCAGGGGCCCAAGAGAAACAAGGGATCTATGAGGAAGGAGAATGGCCCTAGAGAAGACACAAGAAGGGCTTTGGAGAAAGGGCGGGAAAATGGGGAAGATGGGATCCTTCCAATAGCCCTTTGTTGGATTCTTGGCAAGCTGTCTGAGCCCACCCCAAAAGGAGCCCCCTACCAGAGCAATACCCCTTTTGGGAGAGGGAGGGGTTACTCCCTGTGACTCCAGGACACCCAACATAGAAAGGAGGAAGGGGATTGAGTCATTAGGCCAAAGGTCTGAATGGGAACAGAGAATGAAGAACTGCTAAGAGTGGTGGAAGGGACCCCAGGACCAGTGGGGACCAAACCCCAAATCTGGTCACCAGAGGTGAAACTTAATAGAAGCCAGACGGTTTAGGACTGAACAGACAGTGCCTTCTGCAGGCCAACCTCAGAATGATGGGCTACACAGCCCTCTGTTAAGCAGAGACCACCTTAGACTGACCCTTAGAGGTATAGGAGAGAGTGGCCCAGCCTGAGGTCCAGCCTAGAAGGACAGAGACTGAGCCTCAACCCTTACCTATAGGAGGCAATCTTTTGCTAATTCTTGATTATTCCATCCCCCTGCGGCAGATGATTGTAAGTACAGCAGCCCATCTCTGTCTGTCTGTCCGCTCAGTGTTCAAACTTGGTTGGTCAGTCCCCTGTCTTGTGTGGCTGCACTCCACCTCACCACCCCAGCCCGGCCTTGGCCTTGGCCTCAGCACCTCCCCAATATCCTCATGTTCTCGAGAGCCCCTGCCTGGACGGACTGCTTGGTGCCAGTTGGGGTACTCACCACGGGCCCTGCCATTCAATGATTCTGCCTTATGTTTGTCTTGGGGGAGGAGGGGACCACTGAGGGAGGGAAGGGATGTCCCTCTCCCCCCCGGCCCCAGTCTTGCACTCTCTTCCCCATGCCCACAATGGCATGGGTAGTGCCCACAGCCCTGCCTTTGAACAACACAGTCTGGGGGGCAGAACCTATTATTCTATTTATTCTATAATCTGTATGCAATTCTGGGGATCCCTCTTTAGAAGCTGCCATTCCTGATTTCTCCTCTCCCCTTCTGTCTCTGACCAGAAATTACCTAGGAACAGGGTGGGGCAAATAATGCTATTGGGACAGACCAGTACCATGCCACCACCACCACCACCCCCAACTCCAACTGGAGACTTCATCTAGAACCCCTGATTCCTTTCCCAGAGAGTCACATAAACTTGCTTGGCCTGCAAGGATTTGGAATTGGAGGAAATGCTCCCTCTCCTTGTTCCTTCTAAGAACTGTCCTCTTCCCATCCCCACTAAGGGCTTTCCTATCCCTCCTTCCTGGCCTCAGAGGCTCTCCTCTTCCCTCTCCTCACCTCTCAGGGGTTCCCTTCTCCCCTTCCCTTCTCCCCACTCACCTACAAGCCAGGCCTTTGGGCCCCCTGGGAAACAGGATTCCCTGGGCAGATGGGAATACCAGACTTCCTAAAGCAGTGTGGGAGGGGATACCTAAATGACCCAGGTCAAGAGGCTCCACACCCCCTTTCCATCTTAGACCCACCAGCTCAGTGGGGGAAGGGGAAGGGGGAGAAGGCTTAGGGAGAAGAGGGGCCCCAACATAACAGTAACATCCATGTCCGCTATACACTAACCCCAGGCTCCCCATTCACACACACACACACACACACACACACTCACTGAAACATGCATTGTCATACACACATACAAATACTTAGAGATTCACACAGCTCCATAAATATGCTTATTCCCTCTCTAACACATAATTATTATGTGCCTAACACAGTTCTAGGCATGCCAGGAAGTTACAAAAGAAACCTAAGACAATTTCTGAATTCCTGTGCTCACACACACACAATTCTAATAAACACAGGAACATATGTGAATAGCTTCCTTTAAAGGTACCTCCACACACACATAGATATATACACATCATGCACCAGGACCCTCGAGCACCCACAGAAACACACATATATACATGCACAGCCTTACGATACCCCTTGACACCACTTGGCATAGTTGATGGACTTGTGACATTGTTTCTACAGGGAACGCTCTTGAGAAAACATGGCAAGGGATTAGAGAAGGTAATGAGGGTCGATCCCCAGCTGACCTGAGGCCCGGGCCCCACACTCAGCTCTGCCCGTGCTAAGCCTGTGTGTCTGTGTGCCTGTGTGCGTATGCTTGTGTGGGGAGTTAGACTGAGGATGGATTGGATAGAGAGAGTACAGATGGCTGGGAAGATATAGTCAGGGGACAGACAATCAGGGCTTGACTTTGTAGGGAGGTAGTTCTGTGTATGATGAGTGTAGGTGTGTGTTAAGTGCACAGGTGTCTGCACAATGAATATAATTCACATCCCCTCACAACAAACTACCAATGGCCCCCAGCATATGCTGAAATATCTCAGTATCAGGCAATGCTCTACCAACCAGACCATCCCCTCTGGCTTGGAGGGCTATTTCTTACACAACAATTTGCATTGTGATGGTTTGTTGAGATGGGATTTGACCTACAGAGAAGGTAAAGTGTGTGTGTTTATGTGTGCACATGTGTACATTTGTTCACATGCATGTAGAAGCAACCCCCTCTTTTCAACTTTACCTTCCTCTCTCACTGCTTGATGAGCAGGGGATGTCATTTCTGGCAGTGACTCCTTTGTTAGCGCTTATTAATGTCTTCCTGAGACAAGTCAATAGTGCATGGGCTATCAAAATAGTGTATCCTGATGATCTGTGCACTTTGGGGAGTGAACTTTAGGGATGTGTTTTGTTTAAAAGTTGGGGCTGCCTATTCCGTGTACAGGTATGTGTGTGTATCAATATGTTGGTGTATTTAATGTGTTTCTGTGTCTATATGTTTCTATGTTTGTTTCCTGTATCTTATGTTTTAACATGTATGTATATTTGTTGACATTTGTCATGTACATTTTTGTTTTCTGTTGATGTGCATTTGTACATTTTTCCGTGTTTGTATCTGTGTCTATGTCTGAGTCTATGTCTCTGTTTTGTTCAACAACTTGAATGAAGATATAAATTACGTGTTTGTCAAATTTGCAGATGCCACAAAGCTGGGAGAGCTACCACATTTTAAGAACAAAAGTCAGGATCCCCAAAGATCTTGATGCGCCAAAATATTGGGTCAAATCAAGTAAAAATGAAACAGTAGCAATAATATAAAGACCTATTCTTGGGTCCTAAAAGTCAATTATCAAGTACAAGATGGAGGAGATGTTTAGCAATCGTCTGTGAAAAAGGCCAGGGACTTGGACTGCAAATTCAACATGAGTCAACACAGGGTGATATGGCAGAAAAACAAACTAACTAGGGTTGCATTCAGAAATAGATGAGGGAGTATGCGTCATTGTGTTGTGTTGGATTTTTTGCACTCCTTCTAGCTGCTCTTCAGGGTTTGGGGGATGTGGGGGCTTTTTGTTTGTTTATTTGTTTGTACTCTCTGCAGGGCAGAGAATCTACCATATAGCACAGATACCCAAATAAATAATAATGGCTGTTTCTCACTGCACTAACAAACAAGCAAACAACAAAAGCAAATGAACAAAAACCCAACCTCCCATGAGGGAGGTAATGATCCTGCTGCACTCTGCCCTGGTTAGGGTGGCATTTTCTTTTCTGGGCACCAAAGCACTGGAAGCATTCAAGAGGAAGACAACCAGGATAGTGAGGGGGCTCAAGAGCATGTCAGCTGAGGATTAGTGGAAGGACATGGGCATGCTTAGCCTGGAGAAGAGAAGACTTAGGGGGACAGAATAGCTGTCTTCCAGGATTTGAAAGGCTGTCATTTGTGAAAGGGATTAGATCTGTTCTGCTTGTCCCTAGAAGGCAAGAATGAAGAGCAATGTAAGAGCGGGGATGGGGGGAAGTGACAGGAACATAGAATTCTGCTTTGTGTAAGTCTCAGCTTTCTCACAATGATCTCTCCAAGAGTGGAAAAGGCAGACAGAGGACAGTTAGACACTGGCAGGGAACTGCCTGTCTCCAGAAGTCCTCAAGCAGAGGACAGATGACCGTTTGTCCGGGCTGTTATGGAGGGAGTCCTGTTCAGGGACAGGTTGAACTAGGTTCAAAATTTGAGTTTCTGTGATTCTATGGATATAAATATGTGTGTCCATGCGTCTTCTTTGTAAAAATTTCTGTGTGTTGTGTGTATGGAATAAGTGTGCTGTGACATATGTGACCACGTATGAGGGATTGTGTATGCGGAGTCAAACTGTGATTTCCCCCCTCCCCAGGAGTCCAGAGCCAAGTTTTGTGGGGACTAGGGTTGGGGGTTGGGGGGGGAGAGCTGCTTAGCTCTCCTCTCAGAGAAGGACTCAGGAGAAAAGGGCACCCATTCCTGGTGTGGGTGGGGCTGGCTCTGGCATGGCTTAGAGCCTTTCAATGTGGAAGACAACTATATCCCCACAATCCTGGGTGCCCAGCAAGGAACCCAGCAGAAATAGAATGTTAACCTTGAGCCCTGAGTCCCCCCCATCCAAGGATGGAATGAGAGGGTTGATGGGTTGGGGAGTAGAAGGAGGATTTTATATCTAGCTGGTGGGTAGTGGGAGAATGAGGGGGATGGGCAAGGGAACTGGGCAGGCTCCAGAACTGTGCCAGGTTGAGGACAGAGGGTGGGGGAATAGGAAGGGAAGTCCTACTGACCCCCACCCCCAGCAGTCAATGAAACCTCTGAACTCCTATTCTCTCCACAGGGCAGGGTGAAACTCCCCAGCCACTCAGACGTAAGATGTTGGTCTCTCACTGTCTGTCTGGCTTCCCCCTCTATATATGACCTTGCACCCCACCACTCCCTTCCCAAACCTCTTGCCTCTGTGATCCTGTGTTCCCCAGAGTCTCTCCCTCCAGCGTGGGGAGAGCTGGACCCCTGTGCTGTCCCTCTGTCTGTCCGCTCTCTTTTCTCTGTCTGTCCGGCTGGCCGACTTATTCATGTTGGTGGGGGGAGGAGGAGTGGATGGGCTGGAGACTGGAGGCCCCTACCCCCAGAAGCCTCCCAAAGATGAACACAATCCATTGGTTCTGGGCTTTCTAGGTTCTTTTCAACACCCCTTTGTCAAATTAGTCTCATAACACCTTCCCAGAGGTAGGCCAGGAAGGGATTATCATTACCATTTGACTGAAGAGAAACCTGAGAGAGGCTGTGATTGAGGAAGGGATATTGCTCTAGATCACACAGCCAGTTAGTTGAAGAATCATAGAACCATAAAGGAGACTTTAAGTACTGCCTAATCCAACTTCTACATTTTAGGGACAGAGAAATAGAGACCCAAAAGTAGAAGTGATTTGCCCAAGACCACACAATGAGGGCATGGCAAGGATGGCACTAGGACCGTAGGATTATTCTCTTTCAGGAATGGGGAACCTGTGGCCTGGAGGGCACGTGTCCCTCTAGGTCCTCAAGTGTGTCCCTCTGACTGAATCCAAACTTCACAGAATAAATCCCCTTAATAAAGAATTTGTTCTGTAAAACTTGGACTGCGTCAAAAGGCCATACCCAAGGACCTAGAAGGCCACACGTGATCTTAAGGCCTCAGGTTCCCCACCCCTGTATACCATACTGCTTTTTATGGACAGCCCACACCCCCTGCCAGGACCTCACTTATTGTAACATCCAGGGGTTGGGATGGTGGCAGAAGTGGGGACCAAGAGGGCAAATGGAATGCTTTTCCATGAAGGTCATCAGCGGCTTCTCCTGAAATGATCACACCTATTCCTGCCCAGGGAGACAGAGCCCAGGGGGTCACATGGGAGGGGCTACCTCCCTCTCTGGAAGCCCCTTCCCAAATCCTGTACTTGAGACTCCAGACAGGACTAAGAACTGGTACATGACCAGCTTGCCTTCAGCCTCTGCCTAGCCTGGGCCTAGTAACATCTGGCCTCTTGCCTCCCCCCACACTCTACTCTTTTTTCCCCCTAATCTTTTTTCTTAACTCTGGCTCTTTGGCCTCTTGAGGAGAGGGGCATAACTTCACAGGACTCTGCATTTGTTGGGGTGGGGACATGACTTCCCCAGATAAAATCCTACCCTAGAGATGACGGCAATTTCTGAGAACCACTGTCCACAGAAAGTTCAGCCCCAAACCAAGCACTCTTGTCTAGATTTTACTGGCATTACAGGACAGTCAGCACCGCCCCCATGCTCTGGGGATCCCCTCTGAATGGCCCACAGTGGCATCCTCTGCGTTCAGGGATCTTGAGACTGAGCAGGGATGGAGTCAAAGTCCTTGGAGTCCATGCCCAGCCATGGACTGCCTTCACCCTTTCCTCAGGTGGCCATCTGTGCCAGCCTCCATCTTGCCCTAATGCCAGGAGGCCTGGTATTTGCCTCCCTGCCACCATGGCCCTGGGCACATCAACTCTGTAGAGGGTAAAGTGGCTCAGCCCAGGTCCAGTGAAGGGGTGATGCTCAGTACAGGAGGGTGGGGTGGGACCCAGGGACATGCAACCATATCCTTACCCCCTTCCCTGGGTATCTCTGTATGTTCTGCAGGGGACCCAAATGATCTTCAATGCTGCCAAGGAGCTGGGTCAACTCTCAAAGCTCAAGGTGAGCTGGGGGTATGGGAGAACAGACTTGGGGAAGTCATGTGGTAGTAGTTGGGGGAAGGAATCTTCATACTGACTTCCTCAGTTCAGGTTTCAGGCCATCCAGAGTGAGCCTGGGGTCAGGGATTAGAGACCATCCTTGACCTCCAATTTCATTACTCTGGAACCTGCTCATAGAATATAGAGTGCCAGAGCTAGAAGGGCCCCAAAGGCTGAAAATTTCCCATTAGCCTCCCCCGAGAGTCCAATGCCCATGGGCTCCTTGCTGCCAAGGCTTGGGCAGATAGATCATCAAGTGGCTGAATTAGTGTGTCAGCAGACAGAATCATTCAACCTTTTCCCTTTTTGCTCTGTTCTTCTAGGACCACATGGTACGGGAAGAGGCCAAGAGCTTGACCCCCAAGCAGTGTGCTGTGGTAGAGCTGGCTTTAGACACTATCAAGGTTAGTAACCACAATCCCAGGACCCTCCCGCTACAGGGAAGAAGGAGAAACTGGGAGCTGGAAGGGCCCTTAGAACACTGTCAGAGCTGGGAAGGGCTTTAGAACACGGAATGTCAGGGCTGGGAAGGCCTTTAGAACATGGAATGTCAGAGCTTGGAAGGCCCTTTAGGACACAGAGTATCAGAGCTGGGAAAGCCCTTAGGATACAGTGTGTCCTAAGAGCTTATCCAGCTCTGACACTGAGTGTCAGAGCTGGGAAGGCTGTTAGAACATGGAATGTCAAAGCTGAGAAGGGCAGGATTTGAAGAGGAAAGACTTGAAGCTAGGCAGTGAAATCATGGAGGAAGGAAGGAGAATATCATTTTAGGACATACAGTGATGAAGCTGGAAAGAACCTTAGAACATGAAATATTAAAGCTGGAGGGGAGATTAGGACTTAGTTACAGAGCTAGAAAGAAGTTTAGGACTTAAAATGTAGACTATCAGAGATAGAAAGTACCTTAGAGATCCTCCTGGCCTTTGCTGGACGTATATGAGTCTTCAGCATTAGAACGTGAGCTCCTTGAGGGAAGGAACCATGCTTTTGCCTTTCTTTCTATCCCCAGTGCTTACACAGTACCTTGAAAATACTAAGCACTGATTGAGTGATACGGTAACAGATACGGTAGCTGGGTCCAGAGATCAGAAGGGATTTCACCAGTCACATTACAAGTCAGGGACAAGAGCTGAGAACAGAACCCAGCCATCCTGATGCTCCTTCCAGGAATCATCCCACTACATTAATCCTGGCACCCTAGGAAAATGTGGCTTTGATTCTCCTAGACTCAGAGGGAGTCTTGAGAGCCACCCCTGAGCGAGTCTCTCCCTTCACAGCAATACTTCCATGCGGGGGGTGTGGGGCTCAAGAAGACCTTCTTGGAAAAGAGCCCAGACCTGCAGTCTCTCCGCTATGCCCTGTCTCTCTACACGCAGGCCACAGACCTGCTCATCAAAACTTTTGTCCAGACTCAGTCAGCTCAGGGTAAGGTCTCCCCTTCCCTTGCCCAGAGCTGGGCACAGTATGGTGGAAGGGGAGGGAGGTTCATGCCTAGTGCCCAAACCGAGGCACTGGGAAGCACAAAGAAAGCCCAGGTGCTCCTCAGTCCATTCCTCTAACCAATGACAGCTGTCTTCTTCTTTTGCCCTCAAGGTCTCTGCTCCAGGCTGGGTCATAAAGTGGGGGTGGGAGGAGGAAGGAGCAACATTGGATGAGGTTTGGTAAGAGCCTCTATGATACCACAGGAGAAAGGGCAAGATCCATAGGATATTAGTACAAGGTTCAGAGATCATAGGAGCATCATTGTAGAGTTAAACATTGCCGGTAGAGGACATTGGACAGTCACTGCTGGGTGGGGATGAGGAGGCCACCCCAAGTTAACTTCTTCAGTGCCAAACTCTTTTGCCAGGAAGCAGGAATTCCCATGTCTCTTGGCTTGGGTTAGGGATGGGGAGGTTGAGGAAGGCTAATGTCTCTGGCCTCCTGTCTTCTTTTTGGTTCTCTCCTGGTCCCTTTCTGGGTCAGTGCCTAAGGCTGGGGTGATTGGGTTGTGAGAAAGGGGGGGAGGAAGTGTCTGCCCATGGAAGAGGCCCTAGGCTGCCTCATAGAGCTTCTATGCCCCCATCATCAACTACAGGTCTAGTGGGAGGCAGGTCCGTGTAGATGGGGGCCTGAGCAGACCCCTTGGACCTATTCTGAGCTGGATCACTGACCCTCTGGGGGTCTCCCTGTTCAAAGTGCCATTTTCCACGTCAGAAATACATTTCAATAGAACCTTTGAGGGGGTGCAGGTACATGAGCACAGGATGGGATTTTGGAATGGTCTTCTAAAGTGGTTGTTGTCAAGTGGGACTCTTCCTCACTCCTGTAGAGAGACCCCTGAGAAGGTTGGGCCTGGCTCAGAGTCAGGCTGGGGCAGGAGGATAGAGGCTAAATAGGAAGGACTTCTTGACTTTCACCTGACTTAGCCCAATCCTGGATTGTACAAGGCCATTCATTATAACTCAGAAGCCAGGAAGGAGTGATGGAGATGTCCTCCGCAAATCCCCACCAGGCCTTGGGTTTGGGGGAAGGGGTATCTAGCAATACAAGGAAAGTTACCCACCCAACCTGAGACTGCTGAGGAGGAGGGCTGGGGGCCATAGACCTTCCCCCTTCTCTGCCTGCCACTCTAACTCCTGCCCCTCACAGCCCCAGGGGCCAGTCTGTCTCATCTGTCTATCTGTCTGTCTGTTGGGAGCTGATGTTTCTCTCTTTCTTGTTTTTTCCTTCCTTTCAACTCCCAACCCTCTCCTCACTCTCCCCTCTCCCTCTATAACACTGTTGTTCTCTCCCTGTCCCTCTTCTGCTTGTCCTTTCTCCTGTCTCCATGTCTCTGGGGTCTCTCTTTCTGCTTATCAATCTCTGTCTCTATGTTCATTTGTGGGCCTCATTGCCTTTCTCACTTTCCCTCTGTGTCTCTCTGTCTCTGTCATTTTCTTCTCTATTATTTCATGATCTCTACCTCTTGGCCTGTCTCTAATTGTCTCCTGTTTTTCTGCCTCTGTGTCTCCCTCATTGTCTCTGTTTCCCTGTTTCTTTCTTCATCTTTTTCCTCTCTGTGTGTCTCTCCTTTCGCCCTTTACTAGTTCATGGTGGAAAAGGTATTAGGTTTACTCTTAGTGAAGAAATTTATCCTGAGAAGGGTACGTCTCTTTGCCCGCCTGCCCGTCCCTGGTACCCTCTCCCTGCACTTTTGGTGCCCTGGTCGCTGCCCCTCACTCCCTGAAGCACCCTCCCAATGCCCTAGCTAGTAAAAGGCCCCATCCCTTGCTCCCTCCCTCTGTCCTAGTGGCTGGCCTGGTGGCTGAGCCAGGCCTGCTATGCTCATACCTGCTGGGGTGTACCCTGGCCACCCCAGCCCCAACTTCCTCCTCTCCACCATGGGGCCAGGGATTTAGGATCTGAGCTGTGGGAGGGACAGGAGGGTTGGGGGATGGGAGGGCACAGCAGGTTGCTGGTTCCAAAGGGGAGGGTAGGCTAGGGAAGGGCTCTGGGCCAGAAGATCATACCACTACCCCTCCACCAGCCTGGCTCAGGAACCACTGGGAAGAAATCCCAGGGCCTAAGAACCAAGATTTTCTAAACCACTTGTAAACATCTTTTCCAAACTAAAGCAACCCTGATTAGAATCATAGAATGCCTGAGCTAGGAGGAACATGAAAGACCATCTAGTTGAATCTTCCCATTTCACAGAGGAGAAAACTTAGATGTAAGAAGAGGAGAGGGAAGGAGAGGGAAGTTGAGAGGGAGGAGTCCTATTTCTCCAAGATTCAGTTATCTTGATCTGAATTTTAGGTGCTCACTCTACTGAATTGATTCATTGGTCTTGGCCTTCCTTGAACCAGTTCAGCTCTCTCCCAAGCTGGATCTTTCTTGTTCTGAGCTAGATCCTATTTTTTTTCATACTAGATCCCAGTTCTCTCAGTCTGAATCCTAGCACCACTCACTGCCTCATTTGGTACCTGCCTCAAATTCCTAGTGGTCAGGTCCAGTGGGACCAAAGGCCTTCTGAAGAAAAGAATGAGCCTTTTCCCCTCATTTCCCTGAACCAGACCTTAAGTATGGGGGCAGGGGTAATTTGGCAAGACCCTTCCCCTTGGAGCCAGCAAAACAGGGTGGGCCTCAGGCTCTGACTCCCCCAATCCCATGGTGGGGGACCCAGCACTTCTCTCTCCCTTGCCTTGGGGGCCTGGCCCTGCCCGATGAGTGACCCACCTTCCAATCCTCCCTTCTTACCCTCTTCACCCCTTACCCTGAACTCCCTTGGGTCTGGTTTGACGCTTGCATAAAAAGCATCGAATTCCAGAGGGGAGGGAGATGAAGCTGAGCATGTGACTTGTTGGGAGTGGGGGGAGGGGCTCAGGGTCTGAGCCCCCAGGGCAGGGAGATCCATGGACTCCCCCCCAGCCTGGATCTACTTCTCTTTAGCCTCCAGCCAAGCTGGCCTGGTATGGTTCTGCTTGGAATAAATGATTCCCATCTCATCCCCTTTGCAGCCACCACCTCCTCCAGTGCCAGCCACCTGCTGCATGTCCCATCTGGCAAGCCTGCCCTCATGGGGGATGGGAAGCTGCCTGCGGTGTGGTGGGGGGTGGGAGAAGGGTGGGCAGAGTGGGAGATGAATTGGGGCCCGGACTGCTGGGGGCAACAGGTCCCACTTTTGGGCGGTCACTGGTCCCACTTGAAGGTAGATCCTGATTCCTCTTTCCCTACAAGGCCATGTTGACATTCAGCGAGGAAAGGATGCAGAGGAATCCTGAGACACAGCCCTGGGGCTGTGACAGTCACTCTTATCTGTCCTCTGGATAGACCACACTGGAATATTATATTTGGGGAACCATATTTTAGGAAGGACATAGACATGCCAGAGCAATTACAAAGGAGGGAGAGCAGGGGACTGGAGGATCCTGGGGAAGGAACTGGGAATGCTTGTCAAAAGAGAAGACATAGGAGGAAGATGCTAGCTGCTTTCAAGTAGGTGAAGGTCAGTTACGTGCAGGAGGAATTTGTCTCTTTCTTTCCATCCCCTAAAGCCAAAAAAGAAGCAGGAGCAATGGGTGGAAGTCATGGAGAGACGAGATTCAAGATCAACGTAAGGAGGAATTTCCTAATCATCAGAGCAAACCAACAATGGAAGGCGAGGGATGCCTTGTACGTAGTGAATTCCTTGTCATTGGAGGTGTTCAAACAGGAACTAGAGGATGGCTTGTCAGGAACATCATTGAGAAGATTCCTGCTTAGGCCAGAGTTAGAATTGCCTTCTGTGGTCCCTTCCAGCTGTGCAGTTCTATGGTCCTATGATTGTTAGTTCATCACAGACACCACGTGAGCCCTCAACATGGCAGGGCACAAGAACTAAGGCTTAACTCACAAAGCTGCTTAGGGTGGACAAGAGAGTGTTCTGGCTGGGGACCACATCAGTGCTGTGGCCACTGGCCCAGGGCCTGCCTTTCAGTATTAAGCTTCAGTGTTATGTGATCTACTCAAAGGTGAGGAGGCCCTGAAAGGTCCATTCAAGACATTTCCCAAAAGATTGATTGAGATACCAGACACCAAAGAGCTGGAACTGCCCAGAAAGATAAGAGACTTTAAAACATGGACCACAGAATGTTAGAGCTGCAAAGACCTTAGAACATGGAAAATCAGAAAGAGAAGAAACCTTAGAACATAGAACACAAAATATAGAACAGAACAAAATGGCAGAACTGGAAGGCACTTTAGAATGTGGAATGTCAGGACTAAGAAGGGACCTTGGAACACAGAATGCCAGATCTGGAGGGAACCTTAGAATGCTGTTCAAGAACTGACTCGATAATTCTGCATTTTCTGGTTTAAAGTCATTTCTGTTGCTTGTGGCTATAAGAGAAAGCCTGGCCTATGGACACCATGGTCAAACTCTTCAAGCTGAGTAGAGCTTAGATATTTATCATCTTTTGAAAATAGAGGGGAAAAAATCAAGTGAAGGTGATAAAAAGTTAGTTGGGAGGGGAAGGTACAAAGTTAGGAGGCTGATCAACTCAATTCAATAAACATTTATTAAGCACCTATTACGTGCCAGGCACTGTGCTAAATGCAGTGATTAAAGTATGCAAAGTTGGGGGAAAACAGTGAGGCTGAGCAGCTGAGTGATAGGTTTTGGAATATTCTGAGGAAAAGGTCGTATATTGACAAATAATTGATGACAGCAAGTTAAGCAGGTTCTTTGCATCGGCTTGCCTCCCTAGAGGGAGCACAGTTCACAAGGGAAAAGAGAATTTCTCCCAGTACCTCAGCGAAGTAGCGTCCAGCTTGTCCCTAATTTGTTGCACTAATGTCAAGCTCTGTAGAATCACAGCAAAGTAAGACAGGCTTCGAGGTGATTCTCTGCCACATAACATCGAATCTTAAAATATAAAGTGCCGAAGCTGGAAACAACCGTAGGGATGATCTGGTCCAACCCTCTTATTTCACAGCTCAGGAAAGTGAGAGCAGGAGATGGAACAGCACGGAAAGGACAGACTAGGATTCCTGTCCCTGGTTCCCAGTCCAGAGATCTTCCCATTGTATCATGTGACCTTCTAGAATAACAAAACTCCCTTTATCCCACTAACGTAACAACTGAAGACCAAGCAACTCGCATTTCCATGTTTATTACTGCAACGTTTCCAAAGTGCTTTCCTTCTGACCACTCCATGTGATAGGGAGTACAAGTGTTTTTATACCCATTTAATAGATGAAGAAGCTGAGGCTCTGAGAGATTAAATGACACAAACCTAGTAAGTGTCCAAGGCAGAATTCAAGTCTAAGTCTCTTGATTCTAAGCTCGAGTGTGTTATCCCCTACCCCACAACGCCTTCCAAGTGTCCCTAGTTATACAGCAAATTAATTCTTTCTTCTTTAAGGGAGATGCCATGGCTTCCTGCTGAGATTTAGGAAAAAGCCAAGTTATATTTTTTCTTTCTCTTTTAATTTTTATTAATTTATTTTGATATATCAACAATCACTTCCATATGCTTTTGAGTTGAAAATTTTTCTCCCCCTTCCTCCCCCCCCCCAACATGGCGCACAATCTGATATAGGAAAAGCCAAGTTATATTAGTAACATATTTGCCATTAGGATGTGTTTTCCCAGTTGAACCCAACCAGCATATATTGTGTCTATTGTACCAGACAATAAGAGATAAGGACAAAATAAAAAAGATCCCTGTGCTTCAAGAAGCTTACAGTCTACTGGGGTGGTGGAGGGGTGTGTGGAAAGGTGCCATATGTAAATACGTAACTAAATACAAGGTAATTGGAGGAGGAGAAAAGCAGCAAAAGGCAGGGAGGTGGTGCAGAAAGTCTTGTAGGAGGTGACACTTGGTTGAGCTCTGAATGAAGCTGAGGATTCTAAGAGATGGAGGTAAGGAGGCATTGCAGGCATAGGAGGCAGCTGGTAACTGTAAAGGTAAGGAGGTAGGAACTGGGAGGTCAGTCTCTACCCAGCAAACAGACTGAAGCATTGAGGGTATGAAGGGGGAGTAACATGGAATAAATTTGGACAAGTAGGTGGCAGCCAGACTGTCCAGGGCTTTATATACCTGACTGAGAAGTTGGTATTTTAATGATGATGATGACAATAGCTAGTATATATACATAGCTCTTTATACATATTATCTCACTTAATCCTTACAACAAGCCTGTGAAGCTAATATTATTATCCCCACTTTGCAGAGGAGGAAAGTGAGAGTGAGGGAGGTTAATTGACCTGCCCAGGGTCATACAACCAGCAAATATGTGAGAAAGGCTCTGAATTCTTATCTTCCAGACTCCAGATTCTATACACTAAAGGCATCAAATGAACAGCTCCCAATACCCCCAAGAACAGCCTGAACCAGATTAAAATGTAATGGGGAAATATTGAAGAAAATAAAAATACAATAGAGCATAGATAATGTTAACATGTGGTTTTCTATGTTAATATACAGTCAGTTTGGATCCTTATGTACAGTTTAATGGCCCCATATCTATTGGAGTTTCATGCCACTGCACCACCTAGTTGCTACATATCCTAAAGGCAATAAAGAACCACAGAAAATTCTGCCTCAGGCCCTTAGTAGCTGTGTGACCCTGAGGGAGTCATTGAACCCCTTTGAGCCTGAGTTTTCTCATGTGTAAAATGAGGCTAGGCGCTAGGTGGCACCATAGTGCAGAGTGCCTCGCCTGGAGTCAGGAAGACTCATCTTCCTGAGTTCAAATCTGGCCTCAGACACTTACTAGCTAGATGACTCTGGGCAAGTTATGTCACTTAACCCTGTTTGCCTCAGTTTCCTCACCTGTAAAATGAGCTGGAGAAGGAAATGGCAAACCACTCCAGTATCTTGGCCAAGAAAACCCCCAAAAGGGTCACAAAGAGTCAGATACAACTGAAAAAAAAAGAGGGGGATAATAATCTCACAGACCCATTGTGAGGATCAATTGAGATATTTACAACATACTTTGCAAACATTAAAGCACTACATAAAGCATAAACCATCATTAATAGAACAATCGACATTTATATTCTGCTTTAAGATGTGTGAAGCACGTAACATTATTTCCAATAGCTGCTTGAAAATGATCTGGAGGCTTTAGTGGACCACACGCTCAATAGGAGATAAATGTGATGTGGATGTGAATCCACAGTGGGATATGGCAGCCAAAAAGGTGTATTTGAGCTTAGTCTGTTTTAAGAGACTCGCAGCTTCCTGGAGTCAGGAGGTGATAGGTCCTTCACACGCTGCCCTGGTCAGACCACATCTGCAGTACCACATTTAGTGCAGGATCCCACAGTTCAGGAAGGACGTTGATAATCAGGAGAGTGTCCAGAGGAGGGCAAACAAGACGCTGAAAGATGCCACATGAAGAAAAGCTGAGGCTGATTAGCCTGGAGAAGAAAAGACTTGGAGAGACATGGGAGCTGTCTTCAGTTTCTCTAAGGGTTAAGATGGAAGAGATAGTAAATGTCCTCTGCTGGGCCCCAGAGGGCAGAACCAAGAGCAGCAGGTGGGTGTTGGAAAGAAACAAAAACAGGATTGATAGAAGGGGGCAGAGGAGAAAACGAGAATAATCAGAACTCTCTAAAACTGTAACAGGCTGCATCAGGATGCAGTGGTCCAACAATTAATTTCAGCAAGCGTTTATCAAGCATCTGCTATGGCCCAGACGATGCGCTGGGTGCAAAGCGCACAAAGGCAACATAAGGCTGTTACTGCCCTCAAAGAGCTTACATTCGATTAGTGGAGTCTGCATGGCTTTCCCTAAGGACCGCTGTCTCCTCAAACACTTCTAGTGTCTGAGTAATGAAACTGTAGTAAGCAGAGTAGCAGAAGGGGTGACAACCATTTAAAATAAGAGCCACAGACTTTCAAAGTTGTCCCTTGTAGGAGGTCTTCCTGAAGAAGCTGGGTGACTCCGTGGTGGGTGGGCAAGCTGTAGCGAGGATTTTATCCCCAGTACTCAAGAGCCTAGTGACCTCAGATGGTCCTTCTGATTCTGGTTTCATTTAAATCTCACAACAACCCGGTGAGATACAGATATGATTATCCCAACTGCTGATGAAGAAACTGAGGCTTGGACAGGTTAAGTAAACGTGGCTCAGTAAGTGTTAGAGGTGGAGCTGCCTGCCTGACTGATCTCATTCTCTCTATCCAAGGTTCCTAGTCCAGGACTCTTCCTGCTCCCGCTGCATTGCCTCCTCTCCCCATCCCCCTCTTGAATGACCTGCCCCATAAATGTGGTTGACCTGAGGCCGCCAGCATGGGTGTGGTTTTGGGGTGGGGTGAGGTATGTGAAGAACACTGCTTGTGGTCTCCAAGTGGAGGACAGAATTCATATCCATTGTCTCCTACCCCACCACCATCAGGATCAGGAGTGGATGACCCTGTCGGTGAGGTTTCTGTCCATGTGGAGCTCTTCACCCACCCAGGTACTGGGGAACACAAGGTTACAGTGAAAGGTAAGTGTGAGTCAGATGGTGTGGGCTTGAGCCTCCTGACCTCTGTCCCCTAGAAGGCCCTCAACCAGTTCAGCTGGGAGGCCAGATCGGGGGGGGGGGGGAAGACCTGGTATATCTGACTGGATTCTCACTTGCCCTCTCCTTCCTCTGGAACAGTTGTGGCTGCCAATGATCTCAAGTGGCAGACATCAGGCATCTTTCGGCCCTTCATCGAGGTCAATATCATTGGGCCCCAGCTTAGTGACAAGAAAAGGAAATTTGCCACCAAGTCCAAGAACAACAGCTGGGCTCCCAAGTACAATGAGACCTTCCAATTGTGAGTAGGCTGGGCCAGGGAAGACACATACAAGTATTTAATATGTCACGTCTCTGCTAGTAGCATCTACATGGGACAGACAGTTGAGTAGGGGTAAAAATATAGTCACAAATGTAACATCCGTACAAACATTTGCTGTAAAGAAGCAGCTCTATAGGAAACATCTGCCTTGGCATAACTATCTGCACAAAAGTAACACCCGAACAAGTCCATTTACAGGTGCAAAATTTGTACTGGCCTAAGTATCTGCATAAAGTTAACACCTACACAAACAAGTACAGATGCAAGATCTATGCAGGCATAATCATCAATGTGGTAGCAACATCTGCCCTGGGTAGGCCTAAGCAACTACACTGGAAAAACATCTGTCCTGGTATAAACACCTGCACAGGAAGAACATCCCCACAGAAATAACACCTGCCCAAACATAAGCATCTGCATAGGAGTAACATCTGTACAAGATCTGTACAGGCTCAAACATCTGCACAAGAATAACATTGGTACAGGGGGTAACGCCTGTACAGCAAAAATATCTGTATGGAAGTCCCGTTTTTATCGAATTAACAACTACCTAACAGAGGGGGCATAGCACAGCAATTAGATTGCTGGGTTTAGGGTCAGGAAGACCTGGATTCAAATCCACCTCTGACATTTGCTAATACTGTGGATCTGGGCAATACACAACCTCTGTGTGCCTCCAGCAATGCTCTGGGATTTATCTAGGTCCTAACCAGACTGGTTGGTTGGAGGGAGCTATTCACTGTGGCGCGCCCAAGTCAGGTGTGCCTGCCCAAGGCGCCCCGGGTGGCAGCGCGGTTGGGAGGGCTGGGTGCGGCCCGAGCCCAGCCTGCCGGTTCTCACCCCTCTCTCCCCTGCGCCCAGCACGTTAAGCGCGGACGCCGGCCCCGAGTGCTACGAGCTGCAGGTCTGTGTCAAGGATTACTGCTTCGCTCGCGAGGACCGCACGGTGGGCCTGGCTGTGCTCCAGCTCAAGGAGCTGCTGCAGCGCGGGAGCTGCGCCTGCTGGCTGCCGCTGGGCCGCCGCATCCACATGGACGACACGGGCCTCACAGTGCTGCGCATCCTCTCCCAGCGCAGCAACGACGAGGTGGCCAAGGAATTCGTCAAGCTCAAATCGGACACCCGCTCAGCTGAGGAGGGCGGAGCCGGACCCGGGCCCGGGTCTGGGCAGGGGCCTGGGCCCTAGGGAGCTGGGCTGGGCTGGGCTGACGGGGAGGGTCCCCGGGCCTGGCAGGGTCTGGCTCGGGGAAGCGCTCTCGCTCTCTCTCGCTCGCTCTCTCTCTCTCTCTCTCTCTCTCTCTCTCTCTCTCTCTCTCTCACTCACTCTCTCTCTCTCTCTCACTCTCTCTCTCTCTCTCTCTCTCTCTCTCTCTCTCTCTCTCTCTCTCTCTCTCTCTCTCTCTCTCGGCGCTGGGCAGCCCGGGAGGCCCCTCCTCCCACTGGCCCCAGCCCTGCCTACCAGGGAGAGTTGGGGAAGGGGGGGACCCCCTGCTCCTGCCATTCCCACTAGGGGGTTAGGAGGGCTGAAAGAGATGAGGCGCATCCCACTCCATCCCACCCTAGGGAACCGGGGAGGGGGCGGAGAGAGAAGGCTGAGAGCCTTTGTTTCACGGCATACTCCATCCACTCTGCCCCGCTGGGCAGCGAACAGAGGGAGTAGGGGAGATTAGGGTCTGTCTTGAGCTCCCAGAGACCTATCTGCTAAGAGACTGGGAAGGTCAGAGCCTCGCCCCAGGAGGCAGATTAGGAGGGGGAAGACGTGCCACGGGAGGGGCAGCCCTAGGATATTCCTCTTTCCCGGGGACTCATACCCACACCTGCAGAAAAGCCATACAGGTCGTCTGCCCTACATCACCACCAGACATACCCCTACCCCAAGGCGTGTGGGTGGGGGAAGGGGAGCAGGGCAATTACCCAGGGAGGACCTCAGAGCCCTTTTGTGGGGCTGGGGACAGTGAGTCAGGACTCTAGGCAGGGGCCTGAGGCCCCAGCCATTCAGGGAGGGGGGAGGGGGGTACTCAGAGGCTGGGCCTTTGAAAGGCAAGCTGGGAGGAGGGTTTGGGGAGGGACCCCCAGATTTGGTGTTTGCAAAAAAAAAAAAAGTGACGTTTAAAAGCACACAAACCCTCAGGCACCCAACTCCATTCAGGGTTCTGAGGACATCAGGGGCCAGGGCTGGTGGAGGTTGGAGGGGAGTACTGAATGGCCTATTCTGGACAGATGTTGATATAGCTCCCCTTCTAATTCCCAAGAGCTCCTGGGTCCAGGCCCAGAATGGCCCCTCTTCTCCCCCCCCCCATTGCCTTCTGGATGCCCCTGCTCCCAGCCTCTTTCTCATCTCAGACAGAGGATCCAGAAAGAGGGGAGGAAACATGACCACAACCATCCCATTCCATCACCACTCCCCAGGGGGGCCCCAAGGGGCTGCACCTCAGACCCCTGCTTCCAGCTGCTGCTAAAAGTCCCCACTGGGGTCCTCCCCCCCAACCTTGGAGGACTTTCACTGTTCCCTCCTTCAGCCTCATCTGTCATCTGAAGGGCAGGGCAAGAAGGGGAGTTTACTCCCAGTCTACAAGCCTCCTCCATCCTCTCCTCTACCCACCCCACTCAGCCTTTCCTCTTCCCCCACCCACTGAGCCAGGGGGGCCTCGGAGTTATGGAAAGGCATTGCAGGGGTAGAGAGTGGGAATATAATCCTCTTTGTTCTTGAAAGGCCCCTGAACTTTCCCAGGGAGCAGATACTCCCATCTACCACTTTCATTAGAAATGCCCTCAAAACGTCAATATTCCTCACCCCTCCCACCCCCAGCACATGATGAGTCAGAAGTGAAGCTGCCTGGCCACACTGTCCCCAGTCACTAAATTTACTCTGCCACTTCCTTCTCCTCTCCCTCCAACTAGGGGCTCCTCTGCCTTCCAAGGGTTGGTCCTCCACATGGGCCACTGAAACAAAAAGAGGCTGTGTGCCTCTGGGCAGGGGCACATTTCTGTTTTGAGTGGGCACATGCACCCATCTCTGAGCATGTCCATTCATTACCATAGGTGCCCATCTGTGTGTATTTGTCTGTGCATGTGTATGGGAGATTGTACGTACCTATCTATGTGCTTTACTGTGTTTGTACCCATTTGCCTCTGTGTGTGTGTGTGCCTGTACATCCCATCTGTGTGTGGCTGTCTGTATGAATGAGCATGTCTGTGTGCATGCAAGTTTGCCAACATGTGAGTTTGTGTGCCTGTCTTGCATGTGTGTGCATGTGTCAACACATCTATCTGCATGTGTGTGCCTGTCGGTGAGAGTGAGCAAGTATGTATCTGTCTTAACTTCCTACCTGTGCACCTATCTATCTTCCTGCCTCTCCAGCCTGTATCTCAGAGGACCTCCATGGAAAGGAGAGGAGAGAGGAACCTAGACAATAGTGAGGGACCAGAGAGATGGGGGGGGGTGGAGACACAGGATGGAGAACTCATCTTTTTATAGAAGAGGAGGAAAGTCATAGAGCAAAAAGAGAGGAGGAAATGGGGGAAGAGCAAGGATACTTTTATAAGGGAGAAGGGGAGGTTCACAGTTCTAATCTGGAAAGCAGCAGGAAGAAGACAGAACAGAATGAATCAAGAATATCAGAGTTGGGAGGGCTCTTGGAATATAGAATTGAGAGACAGAGAGGAACTCAGGACACAGATTGCAGGGCTTTAAAGAGCATCTAATCCAGCCTCCTTGGTTTTTCAGATGAGGTACCTGAGGCCCACAGAAGGGAAAAATTACTCCAGGGTCACATAGCCAATCAGCCCTGCTGAGCTCAGGGAAGGTATAGGCTCCCTCATCTTTCATCACCCAAAGCCTGGTTGAGGGGGGCTCCAAGCAGTCTGTGCCTTCCTGGGGAGCAGGAAGGCACTTGGGGCATACTAAGCCTGAGGAAGGCAGACCTCATTTTACACAATGGCAAGCACCTGAAGAAGTCCACCACTCTCTTCAGCACAGGAGGGAAGCTCATTTATAAAATACTTCACTTTCCCCAACTCATTCCAATGAAGCCTTTCAGTGAATTCCAACGTCCATTTGGCCAGTTTGCTCAAAGGGGACCTACCTACTGGAAAGCAACTACCCAAAGACACTTGCTAATGGGAGATACTAGACCAAATGTCCTGAAGGGGCCAAAACTGCTCCCCTCATAGTCTCCTGGGTCCCAACCTGGAAGCCATCTGCCTTCAGCCTGGATTACATAAGGGAAGAATGCCATATGTTTGCAGGCAGAAAAGAGACTGAGATGAAAGACAGAAAAGAGCCAGATTAACGGGATCAGATTCTCTTCCTACCCAAAGGAGAGGTTCAAAACCTGAAAAATCAAATTAGGAGAGATCTCCTTTCTTTCTTCTATCCCTTCCTAACTTACTAAAAGGTAGGGATATTCCTAAGGCCATCTGTTCTTTCTCCCACCAGGGCCAAGGATCAGAAATGCAATATGCAAAAGGGGGAGGGGGTATTAGAGCTGTGAGGCACCTTAAAAGCCATCTAGCTTAATCCTCTCATTTTACAAATGGGAAACCTAAGGGGCAGAGAGGGAAGGGACTTGGCCAAGGTCACACAGTGAGCCAGTGACAGAGGGGATGACTGTGTTGCAGTGGTAGGGTTCAAATCCTGGTTCTGCTACTCACAGCTTATATTACATATATTTTATATAACATCTCTTGGTCTCAGTTTCCTCATCTGGTAAAATGTGAGGTTGAGACTAGATTCCCTCCAGCAATAAAACTATGATCTTCTAAGTGAAACCCAGGGCTCCAGAGTCTTGAGACTGAGACAGCACAAAAGAGACAGGTAGACGGAGAGCTGGGTTGGGGGGGGGGGGTGGAGCAGAGGATCTGGAAGGACCAAAGGGCTGGGTGGGGGGAGGGGCGACAAGCAGCCCCATCAAGGGAGCATATATGGGGAAGCCCCAGTTTTCTGTTACCACAAGATTATACCCCACCCCTTTCTTCAACATCCATTCCTTTTTCTAATACTTGCCAAGGACCAAAGTTGTAGGACATTGCACCTGTTTTCCATTCATCTTTGCCTTTTAGAGAAGAGCACTTGTGTCAGATGAGGAAACTTTCTCTCCTCCAAGCCCATTCCCACCCCCTTCCAGCCACTGCCCCCTGTGACAAGCATTTAGTTTGCTGCCTTCAGTAACAGGACCTTAAAGCTGTAAGGACCTCAGCTCTAGCTCAAACTCCTGTTACAGGGAGGGGAAATTTCAGCCCCAGGATAAGGGACTTGCCCAAGGTCATGCTCTGAGCCAAGGTACAGAGCTGGGACTGGAACCCAGGTCTAGGGATGCCCAGCCCAGGGCTCTTTGAACTGCTTCCCTCCTTCCCCAATGCCTCTCAGTCCCTTTCCTAACAACTTGGGCTCCCTGACTAGAGCAGAGAAGGCTTTATTGGGGGGAGGGTGTGCCCCCACCCCACCATACCCCAACCCTTGGTCCCAAGAACAGTTCCACAAACAAGTGTTTGTCCCTGCTACAGGATTTCTCTGGCATGTGTTTGTGAAAGAAACACCTTCCACCTAGGACAGCAATGATGCCCTGGGTTCCTCTGTAAATATATGAACCAGAACAAAAGTGTTAAATCGATCATGGATGCATGAAATTGAGATGTTTTGCACTATTTTGACTTTTTGGTCTCTGTAAAAATATTTTATTATTAACGGACATTAAAAAAAAAAAAGCACACCCTCTCAGCTCTCAAAACCCTTGACCCCTCCTTTACTGCCCCGACCTCACTAGTAACAGTAATAGAATCTCAGAATGCCATAGCTGGAAGAATCCTCAAACAATCTGATTTAGAATTATGATTTTCTTAAAGACAGGCGAAGGCACCGTGACAACACATTAGTCTCTGCTGATCCCTGCTGGGTGTTCTACCTTCCTCTCCCCTGGATTTCTCACAGCTGACTCCTGCTGAGATTCAGCTAAAGGCCTCAACTGAGGGGCTTCCTCTTTCCCGTATCAGTACTGGCTTTTGCCATCTCTCTTAAGTGAGAGACAAGAAGTTTCTACCCTTTCAGTGAAAAAGACAGGCCTTTCACATACTCAGTCATCTTTCCACAAGGACAAAGGGGTCTAGGAGCCTTCCTGTGGCAAAGCTCTTTTGCAACACGGAACAGGAAGCCAGTTAATTAGAATCCAGGGGCATTTAGTCTGTCTTTTTGAACTTCTCAGTCCTACTACCAGCATTAAAAATTCTCCTAAGTTTCTATCTGATTCAGAGCTAAAAAACCCTATAACTCCTATTTAACCGTTTATGAGGATCTAGTGTCCCCAAAACCCATTTCAGGGGGCTG